ATGCGGTATTATTGGAAATTATTTGTTGGGACCTCATGTTTTACCACCTAGGTTAAATGGACGCGAGTTTTAAAATTGTCTTATGTACACTTTACCCGTACTATTAGAAAATATTCCTAATGAAGAGCAGGAAACAATGTGGTTTATGTTAGATGGAGCCCCATCTCATCACACGATAGAGGTCAGAGAGCAACTCTATTATTTATTTCTTAATCGCATTATTGGAAGACGTGGGGTAACAATGCTATAATTCATCCGGATATAATATGGCCACCCCAAAATCCTGACTTCAACCAATGCGAATTTTTTGTATAGGGGTACATGAAGGCGCAGGTTTATGATCGAGAAATAACTAATAGGGAGCAACTTAATGAGCGAATAAATTATGCGACAGAAAAAATAATGCGAACTTCAGAACTATTTGAAAATGTTTGGAGGTCATTGAACCACTTGAGGGCCATGAACGACTTTTAAAATGTATTGAAACTCACGGAGGTCATATTGAACATTTATTTTAAATATTATTTCTTTATTATCTGATAATAATTAATTATAAAACAATTTAATAAAAACAACTGAATTTATGCATTTTTTTTAATGTTTTTTACAGTCAAATGAGTCGTATTTTACGGATAGGATCGTTAAATTGACGCTTAAATAAAAAATAATTTATTCCATTGAAATATCTGACAAATTTACATACAAATTCATGTGTCACACAAAAATTACGATTTTGGACATGATAAGCCAAAAATAGCGGTGATAATGATTATTTTTGGAAAAAATCGAGTGACCCCTTATTTCGTAAGAGAATTTTGCGATAAATTCTATGGAATGGTTTATTTTTATTTTGTATGGGTATTTTACAAATAAAAGGGGTAAAACCAAAGTTTCTATACTTCAAAAACATAAATAGACATACATATAGAACTAATTATTAATTAGAACTATAGTTACTAAAGCATAAATTGCAAGAAATAAATTTAACATAATAAAGTACATAAAAAATCGAATAGATAAATAAATAGATAAAGAGATAAAGAGACTGCATTATATAGGTACACTGGTATATTACCAAGGGTATAGATCACTGGTATTATTTAACAACCATAATTTAATAGAGTGTTTATATATTTTATAAGACGAACTGTTAATGATTTGCAGTGGAATGTCGTTTAATAATATAGATACACAATCTGTAGAGTTGGCCAGTATTTTCTGATACACTCTGTATATCCTAATTTCCCGACTTCTCACCTACAACAGTGACCGCTCCCATCCCTAGTATCAGGTTTTTTTTTTTCGTTTTGAACGCTCAATTATTAAGAATACTATACACAGGGCTGGATTTGATGGAAGGTTTAACAGCACTTACCCCAGGCAGCAGATTTTCGGAGGGCATCCGATTGCCGGAATATAATATGAAAAATTTAAAACTTATTTGATCCTTGGTTAGGAATGTCATAGAAATAATTATCAACTTCAAAAAATAAATATTGATTTGTATTTATATTATGATTTGGGCTGCAAATTAATACGTCAAGATTTCACGAGACAACATAATGACAATGGGGCATTCAGAAATATTATAGTATATTAGTATTAACGATCTAGTGATTATATGATTTATTTTTAGACAATGCGGTGGTAGTATCCACCGCCCAGAAAATCAAGGTTTGATAAGGCGTAACATAAACTTCTACAGTTCTACGCATCACTGTACCATAATAGTGCATAATAGCGCAGACTGTTGTATTATTTTGTTTTCACGTCCATTAACTTTAATATAATTCAATATAATTTATAAACGTTAAGGGGACTGGAAGCGACAAGTTTTTGTCTTTGTCTTATATACGTGAGATACAGGGATTTAAGCGTGTTCTAATTCAAACGTACCGATTGATCTAGTGAAGCAATAAGAATTTTGGAAACAGATTTGAATTTGTCGTGAAGTCTACTTGAGATCCACTTTCCCATTTCTTAAATTTATCTCATTAAACTCTAAAAAAAAGCCATATTTATTAAAGAGTAATTGAAAAAGATGAAATATCTTAATAAGTTGAGAAATTAAAATCAAAAAAGTGGGAAATGCGAACTCAAGTAGACTTAACGACAAATTCAAATCTGCTTTCAGAATAATATTTTTATAGCTTCTAGATCAATAAGCACGTTGGAAATAAAAAACGTCTAATTCCCTATATCTTATGTGTGTAAGGCAAAGACAGAAACTCGTCACTTCTAAACCCTTTAAGTATCTAATTAATTGAGTAGCAATAAATTAATAAATACCTAACAACTAGTTCAGTCATTCAGTGTATAGTGGTCAAACTATTGCGTGCATACGTGCATTTAGTTCGTATAATCGTGTGTGCGTAATTACATTAGGTTTTTTGAAGAATGTACAAAAATTTATTGGTTTTACAAAGTTATTTATTTTTTTTTTATGTGAATACTTTTTCTACTGGAAAGCTAACTCCGATGTAGAGCCTTTTCTGAAAGTAAATTTTCTTGGGGTGGTACTTTAAGGCCATCATTTTCGATTTTCTTAATAGTTTTCCCAGCAAACATTAAAAACCAGGAAAAACGCAGGAAAACGAAAAACTCGGTAAAATATTAAACAAATATTATTTATTATTAATGCAAATAAATAATGCCTAAATAATTATTTTACCATAATATGGCATATATATTGTTGACAAAGTATCACTATCAACTGAATTCCGCTCAAAATCATTTTTAGTAAGCAATGGTTTATCGTTACTTACAGATACAAATTAATTTCCCCTCTATATCTACCTTCCCAACTTCTCACCAACAACAGTAGCTGCACCCATCATGCAAAGTATGTCCGCATGTTTTTGTTTTGAAATTAATAATATAATACTGTAGTGTGAAGATTTTATTTCAAAATAATAATAAATAAAATGTTATGAGATTAATATACTTATTTTTACTTTTAAAATTATGAAGGTTTAATAAAATTATTGTAATATTGTTTTATTTAAATTAATTTTGAAATTTATAATACATAAACAGCAGTATTTCAAACTTAAAATAAAGACATTTTAGGTACAGTTATAACGTGCAAGTTTGAAATTTTGTATTTCTTCCTCAACTACTCAGATATTGGGTATTTTTAATTTTTAGATTCTGAGTGGAGCGAATTTTTTTGATTTAACCAAATTTTAAGGAACAATTTTTTCATAAGGTAATATACATTTGTACCTAATAATTTGTATGGCATCATACACACATGCTCCATATATGATTTATGAAATCATTTTAAAGAAAAATAATTTTCAACGCGTGTTGTGGATATTTTTAGAGAAGTTATTTTCAACATTTCTTAGGTTTGTTTTTGAAAACTTGGGAAAAGGAAAATCAGAAAAGTAAACAAGCTGTTAAATTTAAGGTTTAATTTCTAAATTCTGAACGATTGAATGACTGAATGTATATTATACTCAGAATAGATTTCTCAGTGCGTTTAAACTTCAAATAATAATTTACTGCATAATATTAAAATAAACCAAACATGTCTTAACAATAATAATATATATTGTTTATATTATTATTTTTACGTCATTAAAAACGGTCAGCACGTTATTATTACAGAAATAAAAGTTTTAAAATAACATATTGTAACAGTACATAACTAGAATAGCAATTATTATTATTTTTCTTTTTCGTGTTGAAAAAATTTCACTCATCTCGAATGAAAAAAAAAAATGGCAATTAAAACGTATCTCTCACTTTTATCATATTTTAATTACAAAAAAAAAAAAAAATTATATATATATATACAAAAATCAATGTTCTTTTCTCTAGAGACTTGGCTTATTTATTAAATGTTTTTATTACTTTCGAACGTTAACGTTAAAAAAAAGTATTTTAAAATGTCACGTCTATGTACAGTAATAATAAGAATAATTATATAGAAATTTTTCTTTTTAGTTTTTAAAATTTCAATATCAGAGAGGGTTTTCAAAATAAATGAAACAATAATAAGAAAAATATTCCGAGGTTATACACGAATGAAGTCGGGCATACTTATGTGTCATTAGTCTACGAGGAAAATACAACTGAGGAACCAAATAAAATACAATAGCTACAGATGATTCAGTATTTTCACCGCTTAATAATAACACGCACCTAATAAGTAATAGTTTCTATGGAGTAAAATGCCAAAATAACAGGATAGTTTATACGTATATTATGATACTCAATATAAAAAAAAAAATGTAAGATAATGGGGACGGGTGCAGCTACTGGTGTAGGTGAGAAGTTGAGAAGGAAGGATATAGACGAAAATTTAATATACATATGTAAGTAACGATTACATATGTAATTATGTTAAATTACAAGCTCACGAAAAAACGATTCTGAGCGGAGTTCAGTTGGTAGTGATGTTTTGTCAATAATATATATGTCATATAATGCATAATACATTAGGTACCAAGGTAAAACAATCAAATAGGCCTAATAATATAATAATAACATAATAATATAATATATATTATATTATCATTAATAATATTTGTGCGGTGCACCGATTTTCTTGGTTTTTCACATCTGCTGGGAAAACTCTTGAGAAATTCGAAAAACGACCTCCTTCACTGAGGAAGTACTTTAGACCTCCCCAGTAAAATTCGTTTTTAGAAACATTGCTTTCATTATAAATTAGAGCAATATTAATGGTAGTAAAGTTCTCCACAGAAAAAAAGAAAGTTAATATTTTTAACTATAATATCTACATTTCTTACATTTTTCCGTTTGTCTTCCGGTTTTTTTTTCGGTTTTTCACATCTGATGAGAAAACTCTTGAGAAAAACGAAAAATGACCTTCTTAAAATACCTCCTCACACTGATTTCCTTTCGGAAAATGTGCTACGCATAAAAATTGGAGCATGTCCTCTAGAAAAGTAGTCCACAGAAAAAAAAATAAACATCTTTGTAAAACTATAAGCTCCTTTGCTCCACTCAGAATTGAATGATCAAACAAATCCAAAAATATTTAATATCGTATAGGTAGATGTCAGAATATTTTAGTGTTCTCATAAAAAAATATCTTTTAAATAATAATAAATTGACGTGTAATTTACTCAACGTGTTCTATACTGCACACATGATGATTTTATAAAAGATATTTTATATTATGCAAATTATAATAATTAGTCTGTATAAATTGATAAATATATTATCATTTATAATAACAATAATACTTTTAATGGATAATTGTAATACCTATACATATTTCTTTTTTAGATTTGGATCGTATAGCGTGGTCTCTTAGTTTTACTATAAGATATTGTTTTATTTTTTGTGCCTGTGAACAATTATTCTATCAAAAACCTTGCTCCGATGTTTCAAGTAAAGCATCTTTTCCGAAAGAAAATTTTAACTCGTTGATACATTAGTTGAGCCATTTTTAGATTTTCCTAGGGGTTTTTAAAATAATTTGAAAAAACCGAAAATAAAATTATATGTAAAACAAATATTTACAACACGTTAATGCGTTATCAATTCCAATGTTTTAAACTTTTAAGCTTTATATTTTCTACCAAAAATATTCTTTCATTAAAAAAAACGCAAGAAATCTTTTTGCTGAATTTTCAATCTATAGTGAGTAAAAATGTTACTTTTTGATTTTCTCTGTGGTTTTTCATAATAATTGAGGAAAACCGAAAAAAACGTAGAAAGAAAGAGAAAATTTATAAAAAAAATTTCATTTGTATTTTTTTTTTATTGTTGTAATCACATTAAAATATTCATAGAAGCTACTTATAAACATTTAAATTTTGCAAGAATTTTACGTGATTTTTATTTGAAAAATACTTTACTTTGAATAAAATTGGTTGATCAAACAGAAATGCTTAAACATTAAACTGGAGGTTCATTATAAACATGTATAACTTTTCAAAATATGTATAACCGCGAATTTCGCTCTGAATCATTTTTCGTTGGAAGTGGTTTATTGTTGCTTGCCGATATAAATTATGCATGGACATAAGAATATCTGTATCCGACCTTTCCAACTCAAAATAAACACCAATAGCACACCTATCCGTAGTTGGTCCAGCTCTTTTTTTCATATTTATTTAATGAAAATTAAAATTCCACTTAATGAAAAGAACAAAAAATACGCATTTTAAAAGAAAACGCATTTATACCAAATCAGTTTTTATAAAATTAGTCCTTAACAGGACTCCATATTTCATAATAAATTATCCTATTTAGGTTCTCGAGTCATTTTTTTTCTACTAACACTTCATTTTCGATTTATGAAAGGTACGAGTATATTACATGTGACCTCGAAAACCATATGCAAAGCTTTTGCATTTACAACGTAACGGCGGCGAATACACATCGAAATATTTATCCGATCGTCGGTACATAAAAATTAAACTTTGTTCTCTCACACAAATTCGAAGAACATTCATAATTTTAATGAGTTTGAGGGTTTCATAATTATATTGATATGGCAAACCATAGAAAATAACCTGAGATTTTAAAAAATTCAAAAATGTTTAAATTGTTTATAACTAATTGACACATCGACCCAGAATTTTATTATATACATCATCACACATTTAGTATTTACGTGGAAGTATATACTCGATTTAAAATCATGCGAAAGGCTAAAATGTATAATGTATAATGAAGAACATTCTTTTTAAAGAAGAAAACGTGATCATACTCATAAATGTACGTTTTTTTTTTTTTTTTTTTGACATTGAACAATGTACCTGTTTTCAATCGCGCCGTGAGTTTTAAACAATCACTACGCAAATACAATAATTATTTTAACGTTTACAATATTATAACTCCATCACAGCTCTTTGTTTACATTTTATTATTAAACTCAATTTAATTTGTGTGTGCACCGAGTTTCGTAAGACATGCAATAAGTTACATAAGAGTACAAATTGCAAAGTCTTTATACTAAAATGAAGTATCTATGTTGGACCATATAGAAGCCAACTTCACGGACGTATGTGCATTAGACTATATACATAACTCAAATACTCCTGATAACTAGAACTAAACATGAGAAAAAATTTATGAGAAAATGTATAATATGTGTTACATATAAATCGTAAATGCAGAAAGCGTACATGTTCAAATTTTAAAATTTTTCAATAAAAATAAAAACAAAATCCTTAAGCGCCTACACTCTACAGTTTAATACATTTCATAAAATTACTATGAAAACCTATAGGTTACTAGGATATACTGATTTCTATCCATTATCATATTACTTTACAAAACATGAAATTTACTTTAAAAAGAAAAAATTTTATATGCTTATCATTTTTGGAAAATGTAAATATTTCAACATAATGTGCTTTTTCTATATTTATTGATTCATATATTATAACTCCGGGATTTCGCCATTTATATCATATAATATAATATCGAATACGAAGCTGTTTAGTTTATTCATAAAATGGCGCAGACAAATATTTGAAAACATGTAAAGATCCTTCTTCTTTTTCTTCAATATTTCAATTTTTACTCCTGTATACGTAACCTTTAATAATCAACTTTCAAAAACTATCATATATCTTTCGTATAATTTGTATAGTTTGCCGAAGTTATCTTTTTTCCGTAATGTTTCTTAAAAATTCAGAAATTCACGGTAACACATTTGTTTAAACGTTTTTATAGCTTTTTCTTTTCAATCTACTTTTCCGAGTTTCACACCAGTCTAACGTCATACTACATGCGTATAGGAGTGTAGGTATAGCTTCTAAATCTTCTGTCTAGCGTTGTATTCAATGCTGTTATGGCAGATTTTTATTTTTAAAGGCTCTTTTCCGTCACGCAATCCTATTGCAATTAAGGATCCATATGCAATTGAAACTTGTATAATTTCGATAATATTTTAACTTGTCTGTATAACTCTTACCTCCCCATATAGAACACAACATTAAACGTTAAATCATAAACACTACTCGATCGTAAATAATATAAAATAAATTACTTTCTGTCGGTTTTAAAAACTTTACAGTTAAGACGATAAAATTCTCTAAACTGAATTGTCTTCGATGTAGCACTTTTAATTTTTCAAGAGGCGTTTTTTGGCTAGTGTTTATAAAATGAACCGTGCAAATTCTAAATTTATGTCTTTTTACTTAAAAACAGAGATGCTATATACACATTATATAATCATACTAAGCAATAACTTATAATCTTATAATAATAATAATAATAATCTGATCCGATCTTAAATTTTGATATGCATATATAAAATTCACGTGTAGGAACATAATATTATATTAACAAAAAAAAAAACAATTATATATATATATATATACGTAATTTATTACGGATTTGTACGTTTTAAATATATTATAATGTTACAGAGCGTTTAAAATAATATGTAAATCGAGAACTATATCGTTCCTTTTGTTTCGGAAGATAAGTCGAGTCGCAGCCGCATTATAATAATAAACGCGTATAATACAGATGCCCAAATATAGAAAAAAAAAACACCCAATACATCGTAACTATATAGAAGAGAGAGAAAAACCCTAACCCACGCAACAATATTATAACGACAGAATACATAATTTATCGTTTTAAGGTGCTTGCTAGTTTCATTAAACAAATAAGTACAATTTCAATCTGTTAAATATTCTTCGAGAGATCAAAATGCGATCATAACTACCGGGTGTCAATAATATTTCAAACGCCGAATTTGTTTGTACGTTATAATATAAAATTCAAACCGTAATGTAGAACCATTATTGCGATTTGAAATCGCCGTTCAAAAATCAATCTCAATCGCAATCATTAGGTACGTTTTTTAACGTTCAAACAACAATATGATTTCTGATAATAGAAGAGTTGTTAGCAGAAAAAATAAAAATATAAAACAAATAAAAAACATAAATCATAGTATAACCTTATCACGCACTTCGCTACACGCTTAGATACTAAAATATAAAATATAAACATTAAACATTGCTTTGGAAATCTAAAATTTAAATGTTCCCATGTTTTGTTTCCGTTTTTCCTATTTGTTGGGAAAACTACAAAAATAAAAAAATGACTTTTTCAAAGTATTAACCTAGTGCTATCATTGAAAATCGGTACAAAAATGGAAGTAGAAAAGTTGACCACAGAAAAAAAAAATAAACATTATTGTAAAACTAATACACTACTCGGTTCACTCAGAATTTAAAACACATGTAAATCGTTATTGCGTACAATTTCAATCTGTTTCCCAATCATGTATTAAGAAAATGTTTAGAAAAATAAAAAATCATACTAATTTCCCTTGCCGTTACACAATAGTCTTTAAAACGATTGGGGAAAGAAAAAAAAGAAAAGTTTAGAAATATACATTATAACATTTCCATGAAGTATACGGTTTGCTGTGAGGTGATATATATATATACTATAATTTATTATTATATTATTAATATATAAATTTTTGTGAATAAATGCGAAAAAAAATTGTCGCAGTCGGTAGGATTCGAACCTACGCTCCCAGAGGGAATCTGATTTCTAGTCAGACGCCTTAACCGCTCGGCCACGACTGCTCGGTATCAGATGGTAGTATAATCGTACGTATATAACTCAGCCCATCATTACTGTGATGAAACAATTAACTATACATCAATTCTATATAATAATATATAGGTACGTAAACTAATGTGTTGATTATATATTTCGTATTATGTTAACGATAAATGTATATCGTTTAATTAAACGAGCTTGTAAACGGCAATAAAGTTTCACCGCATGTTCGAGACATTTGCGCAATACTATTTTTACAACATGATTTATTATCGTATTCTTATTGTTGGTATGCGTAATCATATATGCAGACGACACGAATGAATTCAAATGTATACAAACATATTTTCCGTGTTGCAATTTTCGAAATACATATCCGTTTTTTCTCCCGTAATCAATGCGATATTATCCCATACGTACAGCGATTAGAATAATAATAATATGATTTCTAAACGTGCCATCTAAAACAGAGGCCTGTGGCCAGTGGCGTAAATTGGTCTTAATGATGGCGCACTGAAATATTTAATTTTCCAACCCATCAATATTCCAACTTTCTTGGGAAATCCTTGCGTTCTGCCTATTAAACAATTAATTTCCATTTCGGTCTTAATTAACATTATCGCCATTAATTTCCATCGTTAACAAAAATCAAAAATTATTTTTGAACTATTTCAACTATATTATCAATTAGATATTATATTATGTAATATGTGATCATAATAGTGGATAACAAATTCCAGTGGATTTAATTCACGTAATTTTGATTTACGTAGCTGTTTTGTACGCGCCACAATGTCATCTTAATATTAATTTTAACGGAAACTACAAGTTTTATATTTATTGAACAAATGATTACTTTTTAAATTGCATACAAACATGTGTAACAAATGTATTTCAAAAAATTTTAAAATGTAATTGTGCAAGTGTTACATTATACGGGTCAATTTGTATTACTGATGTATATATGGTGCCTGCAGTGGTGTATTAACGGTGGTGGATCTGGGATGTCTGCCCCTATAGTTTTTTAAATACATAATAAATTATTCTATTTTGATTTAATGCAATTTAATATTAATGCATAATTCCATTTATTCTAATTAATTATAGTGAAAAATGCGCGGTGTCACCGTGATAAATTCATAGACTACAGGTACTAATATAAGGGTAAAATATAAGGGTTCATATTTTATCAGCAAATCATAATATTTTAATTATTGGTTATTTTGTTAGTTAAAAAAAAAAAATATCTTATCAAAAGTGAGATGGTTTATAAATTTGTAATTTACATCCTAGTGGAGCAAATAACTCTCTCATAACTATCAATGTAATTTATTATGTTCACCATCTTGAGAAAAAAAATGTTAAATATGTATAGTGCGCACTGATTTTTTATATATTGTCGTAACCTATGTTTGGATTTATTGATTAGTCTTACGCGTTTCCGAATCTCATCTCCAATACCTAAACATCTATAATACGTGGATGTGTAAACGTGCGTTTATCGCCGTTAAATGGCCAAAAACGTCTTTTTTCATCATTCGCTACTACCTTATTTTGAAATGTGTTTTAATTTTTGATTTCATCGACAAAACTTCGCTTTCACAAATAATGTACTTGCGTATTACTATATATATATGCAGTGTAACGGTTTAAGCATTTAATTTTTTTAAATTTTTTATGACGTACTGCACCATGTACTCCAATTTTCGCATATGAAAAACGATCGGACTGAAATATCAGACAGTTGTTTTTTTTGTTTGGTTTCATTATTATTAATGATTAAAACTGACAATTAAAAAACTGATCAATTAATTATACGTTCATAGAATATGCGACACGCGTGTTTTCGCTGCAGTATGACTACATCGAAATATTACTGTTGTTTATTTTTGTTGTAAAAATATAATATAGCGGATCTCGGAAATCAACTAAGCATTTTCGTTAAAGATTAAATTTCTATAAATATTGTTAAATTTAATGGTATATAGGTGTAATAAGTATACAATAAACCGATGGTCAATTTAATACATCCATTATTTTGTTTTCGAAATTAATTTTGCCTAACCAGATGGTTTTTGTTTGATGAAAAAACACATCATATTCACTTGTTTACAATGTTTGTTTTCCAGAATATTAGAAATAAAATCGTTCATTTAGTATTAATTATACTGGTACCTAAGCATCGAGCCATACTCGGAAGGGGTAAATTAATTTCTATGTTTTGATTGAAGATACATCCAAATGTATTAATTTATTCATTCTAAGAATTAATTTTTATTTAATTAACTTAAATGACAACTTTTGGGAGAATTCTATTCTGCTGAATTTTGAGATAAACAGTACAAATTAATATTTAGATTTTAGGTGTATATAATTCTTCTTCTTTATCACCTTCGACTTTATCGCAACTATTCGGGGTCAGCCACCATCGTTCTTAACTTCCACTTGACCTGATATCCCACTTCGTAAACACCGGCTATTCTCATATCATTTTCATTTTTCAATCACATATAACAACTTTTTTTTCAGTCTTCCTCTCCATCTTTTTCCTACTACGTTTATTTTTATTACAATTCTTACTGCTGCAGATTCCTCTCTCCCTGTGAAATGCCCAAACCATCTCAGTGTACAGTCTGTAATTAAATATAATATCAACAAATACCTATGCATGGGAAATGTTACTAGTTATACTATCTATAGTTAGGTATATTAGTAGAACTGAGTTGAAGGGGGGCGGGACGGAGGTAACTGAGCTGTACTCGGGATAGAATTCGGTATTTTTTTGGACTTACCTGGCGATCGGCGAACTCAGATATTGCGTGTAATAGAATATCGACATGAAACCGAGCACCATGAGTGCCGCTACGCAGCGTTTCACGGAAAACGATCGTCCGACGGCTATCCGTCGGTTTTTCAGCATAGTCATTTTGCAGGTGTGTGTCGGAGACGGTGGCGTATTCAAAGTCGGTTACGCAACGGCGGCAGTGACCGATGATAAACAGTTGACGGTTTTTCGCAGTTGTTGCGGTCGGAGCGCCGGCAGCCGAGATTGTGTCGTTGGCGACGGACCTGAAGCGGCAGTCGATATTATTATTGCAGTAATTATTATTGTCACGGCAGTTGTTGCGTTTGTCGTCGCGAAGGAGACTCCGGCGGTTGCGGCTTTGACGTTGACGGTGCAGACGGCGGTCGGAGGTGGCGAAGGTGTTGGCGAACGACAACGAGGCGCCCGGCGACAGCTCCGGCATTGCGTTACGCTGGAGGCGCCCTCCGCGTGCATGTCAGCCGTTCCCGCGGTCCCGTTCTGACGCGCGGTCGGTCGGTCAACTCCGAACGGTCATTCTGGAAGGAGAAAAAACAATTGTATTATTGTTATAGGAAGATATCCCGAGGTTATAGACTGATAGTTTGTGTTTTGACGTAGGAGAAATAAAAACCAATTTATCCTGTTCAGGGATCAGCAAACGTTATTACCGGGGTTAAGGTGACTATAGCACTTGAAATAAACAAAAAAAGGGACAGTAATACCCTTAAAAATTTAATAAACCCTTTAAAGTGAAATATATTAAAAAAAAGCAAACAAATAAAAAAAAAACCCGGACATACATTGCACGATAGGTGGGTCATTGTTGTAGGTGAGAAGTTAGGAAGGTAGGTTATAGAAGGGAATTTAATGAATTTAATTTAAGGCAACGATTATTCTATGCTAACGAAAAACTATTCTGAGCGGAGATCAATTAAACGTGTTTTAAAAGGTCATGATATTTACAATTTTCGACAAAATTTGACATTAAAATTCTTATATAAAAACAAAATACTAAGTATAAAGTATAATTTATAAGGAACCTTCTGTTCAAAAATATCTGTTCGGTCAAACAATTTTATCCACAAAGTAAGTACTGAATAAAAAAACTTTCAAAATTAAAATGTCTACATAAATAGTCTAAAAATGATTCAAATGGTTTGAACATTATAGCACGTCTTGAAAAAGCAAATACAGTTTTCTGTACAAATACCAAATATCTATGAATATGTTTAACTGAATTACATAAAAAAAACGAAATTGAAATTAATAAAATCATCATTTTCGTAAATTTATCCATTTCTACTAAGTTTTTTCACGGTTTTTCTCAATTATTATATGAACCAAGCAAAAAAAACCCACATTTAAATTTTATATTTGAAATCGTTATAATATGACGTAAATTTCAATAACACTGTGCTAGATTTTTAATGGTAAATCAAAAAAATAAGCAACGGCAACAAGAGCCCTGGACCTTGATTTAAATATTAGATATAAGAAAAAAAAAAAGTTGATACTGAGGACGGTTACAGTCACTGTTGTAGGTGGGAAGTTGGGAAGGTAAGATATAAAAGGTAATTTCATTTATATCAACGATAAACTATTGCTGAAGAAAGACAATTTTGAGCGCAGTTCGATAATACATAATTTGAAGTACCGTAGTTTTTTTTTTTTGCGATTTTGTTTGAATTTGATTTCAAAACGCTTATTAAAAATTAAAGTTACCCGATGACTTTAGAAATTTTACTACATCTAGGTTAGTTCAATATAAGTATTATTACCGAGTTTCAAGTCTCTACGTGTATTTATAACTGAATTACAGCAAAAAACCTCCCAAAAATTAAAATTCCTTAAAAGCCCAAAAGTTTTGGTGATGATACCATAAGAAATTTAATCAAAAAGGCAACAAAAAAGGTATCTTGTAATTTTTTGATGAAATAATTTTTTTCTGGTAGAAAATGTCGTCCGTATTTTTATAAAATAATGTAACTGTAAAATAGTACGTTTTTCTACGTTTTTTTTTTTAGCACTTGTATTTTTCTCTAGCAGTATACATAATACGTCAGAATTCGGATTTCCATATTAATTTTAAATTTTACTGTCTTTTCTCATATTATATCAAATCCAAATGATAATTTATTTTAATGTTTTTTACTTTTTTTTTACATCATTGATAATTATTCCAATATGCGATAATAAATTATAAAATTATTGTTGTAAGGCAGCGGTTCTCAAACTGTACTCTGTGAGAGTAGTCTAGGAGCTCCGTGGCTCCGTGGGCACATCTGTATTGATTAAATTCAAATTATTATTACATTTCTTAGTTTCGCGAATTCAAGAACTAACAAAAAATTATAGTAATAGTCATTACATTTTTCATCGTCAAGTACTTGCTATTAAAAAGATGCGAATACCTCATAAAAGTGTCCTTGATGAGGCAGTAAAGATTATAAATTTCATAAAATCTCGACCATTGAGCACAAGACTGTTTACAATTTTGTGTGAACTTTCCACATGGAGGTATTCATAAATCACTACTTTATCATACCGAAGTAAGCTTCTCGAGAAAAATTACATACAAAACTCATAAAATTAAAATATCTATAAATAGCCTTAAAATGGTTCAAATGTATTGAATATGTATGTAGTTTTCTGCCCAAATTTGAAGACTTTAAGAACCATTTTTTTCTTAATTTTTATGAAAATTGCTTGAAAAATCAAAAAATTATCTTGAAAGTACCAACTAGATAAAATTTTGGTTCAGAAAAAGTGTTACACTTGAAAATTTAAGCAATATTTCTGGTAGAATTTTTGTACACCGTATATATATATATAAAAAAACATTATTGTAAACCAATACATACACATTCGCTCAGAATATAAAAAATAAAACTTTATAATTTTGATTTCTGAAATATTATCGTACTAAGCGAAGTTGGGATAAGTGCTTACAAAAACGTTTTGTTCATATATGTATAAGAACTACTTTTTTGAACTTTCTCGACTTGTTTATACGTCTCCGTAAGGAATAAGTTTTATCGGTTCGGTCGTATTTGTATAATTCTTTTAAACACATGCGTTCGTATATTATACTGTGGAACACAATATTGCGTACGATATAACGTGGGTGAAAATAAACCGGTATTATAATAAGTATATAATAATATGGTGTTGGTGGCTAAAATTCCTTTACGCGAGTAATTTTATAAAAGTCAGAGAAGAAGAAGAAGATTAAAAAAGTATTAAAAATGTACTAATAAATTCTATTCTACAAATATGAAATAAATATAAAGATGTTTATGGTACGCGTGTGCATTATTCAAATCAAATAATAATATAATACTTACGTTGAAATACGCGATTATAATAAATGAGGGATATGTATAATAATGGTTTTATTATTATTATTTATTTGTGAATTTGTATCATAAGAACACTCGAAAAATTAGATGTTTCGATTCTCATCGTGTACTTATTACGGAAAATAATCTCTTTAAAGCTATTGAAGTGATTTCCGATGAACGCCGCGATGCGTATAAAGGAATTACAAATAATAAGAAAGAACTTAAGATGCGCTTACAATGTTTGTGTGAGCCAAAAGTACTTACCTAGGTAAAAAAAAGTCCATTTAACCAGCGGGTAGACGCGTTTTGTAGAAGTTTACGAAAGATTTTATTCCGTGCGTACACGTGAAAACGTAAGTTTCTAAACATTACTTTATCAGATTAAGTCAATCCAATTATATCACACGATGTCTCGCGGACAAATAGACGGATTACAATATTATTATACATTTCTTCATTATCACAAAATACATTTAACATAACAAACGTGCGTACAGTTTTTGAATATTAATTATGTTTTTTATTTAGAATACGTATTATATATTCTGAAGACAAACATAATATTATGTTTGTCTCGTTTATTGCGTAAAACATAATACTTTTATAGTCCCTAAAATAACAATTTTAAAAAAAATATCACTTATTATAATCAAAGGCAGTATTCGAATATTCAATATTAAGAAAAAAATTTTGAAGATAGGTCTATCTATACCTATACGTATTATAAATTAGTATGACATAATTATGTTTTAAAACCTGTACAGTGAACAAAAAATTAGTAAGATAAAACTATAAAGTTTGAAACTGCGGTGTTACTGTATAAGATTATGTTTAAGAAATAAACAATAAGACAATAGACACTAACATATGAAGAAGTATTAAAAGGATTAAAGAGACAATGTAGGCAAATTATAAAAATAGGTAAATGACTACGTCTTGATAGTTCGTTAAAATTGTTTAATGAAATTTTAAGGTTGCGTACAATGGCACCAAAACTATACATTTTTATGGTGTAGCAGAATTTAAATTCAAAACCACCATCCACCTCAATAATTTTTACTTATATAAATATATAATTTTTAACCCCTACAACCTACCACCTTCAATGTTTATACACATTCTACACGACTATCTCAAATCCCAACTACCAAAAATATGATGTATAACAAGTGCTACACTCGAAGTATAGTTTGGGCACCACTGGTTGTGTATAAGGTAAATATTTGAAGAGGAAGACCAAGGATGATTGACAGTCAACAAATCAAAAGATTGGAAACCAGAAAAATAGAAGGCGTGCCGAGGATCAAAATTTAAAATTTGCCAAATCCCATTTTATCGATCGAAAAGCGGAGTTTATACAGATCGAAATAATAATCCCGTTTTGCTAAAATAATCAGGAATGTTTAAAAATTTTAGATGAAGTTCATCATAAGTTGTACTAAGTAGTAAAAAAAATAATTTAAATTAATTTTATACTTATATATTTTTAAGTCTAAATTTTAACAACAATTGTCTAAATCATAACATTTAAAAACGTTTTTAATCGAACTTCATTCAGAATCGTATTTTATTAGCAGTTATTGTACAAAGATATAAATTTAATAATTCTGCGATCCTATACCTTTTCGATTTCCTACACACAACTGTGGCACACCCAATAGCAGTATCAGCTTTTTTTTTTTTTTTGGAATAAAACTATGGGCAATTTATGCGGCATGTTGTCTTTATATATATATATATATGTTTTACGTACAGTTATCCAAACCATAAACTTATTTTTCGACATCATAAATTACAAGAGTTCACTCCTCTCGCCTCTTACTGTTAAACGGTCCTACGCACACATACTGCTTCTACAAGTATACACACACAGCCGGGTATACTAAAACGTGCAGTCTTATCACATACACACCGATGGTTGTGTCTGTTGCATTTGCACCACACGACTAATTAACGAAGTTTTCAGACACGGGTCTTGCGCTCTTGCGCGTGATGTGCTATTGTAAATGGTATAGGGATTTTTGTATTTTTAAGGACAACGCGTGAGCTATGATTATAATGAAAAAACGAGTCCAAGCGAGAACAATAAATTTAACAACGGACTCGAATGCGGCGAAACAACGCAGCAAGAGGGTTAAAAGGACTCGTGTAATAATCACGAGTTTTTCTGACAGTCGGAAGAATATAGACCTATGTCGTCGACTACTCAGCGAAACTTCGTAAATCAATTTTAACAAAGTTACTGCCATAATTAATACCATAGTTTTTAAAAAACAATGGCAAAAAAAACAAAAATTGAGCTCCTCATCAATGCACTAACTAAATCTAAAATGCTACAATAATAATCCTGAACAATGTTTAATTGGAGTGAAATTTCTGATAGAAAAGTTGTTTCGACACAAAAAACATGACTTACGAGGTTTTGCTAGGAAGCCAACGCTATCTTAAAAACGTAAAATATTTCTCAGATGTGAATGTTGATATGGCATTAAATTGTCTACAATTTTACTCAATTGCATTTTAGATTTGGAGCGTAGCAAGAGATCTATTCGTTTTACCAGAGGCTAAAATATATACTTTTTCGTACTACTCATCAAACCATAATTATATTATAGGTATCATCACTCCCCCTTCCCCGAAATAGAATTATTTCAGCCGTTACACACTTTTTAATTTAGTATTGCACATTTAATATTTCACATTACATAATTTTAGTCCCTGAGTTTTACTGTGTTTTTTTTTACTTTTTTGTATCTATAAGCAACTTTTCGAACAGAAAACTTGCTCCGGTGAATCAAGTATAGCAACTTTTCTGAAAGGAAATTTCTCTTATTGGGGTGGTCTTTTTTTGAATTTCCTAAAGGTTTTCATACTAATTGGGAAAACTGAAAAAACAGCAAATATTTACAGCACACTGAGATGTTCCAGATTTCATTGTTTCTAATTTTTACGGACAATATTTTCTACCGGAAATATTGCTTTAATCGTCAAAATATGACAACTGAAAAAAGACGAAAATTGAAAAACGAATACATTTAGGGCATATGATTTCATTATCTCTCATCGTTGTACATATTTTTTTCAGAACATAAGTAGGTATAAAATACCGGATATATTAAGCTGTCTTAGTTCTTTTTCACAGCAAAAATGGGTACTTAAGATAATAGTCGTATTTTTAATACGACTATTATCTTAAAATATTTCTTAGAACGTACAACAAATGAAACGTCACTACAATAGTTTTAAATATAATTATTAAGAATTTAGTGAACATATTGTCTACGAGTCTCTGCGATATTTACAGATTCCCCGAGAGTAACGCACATAAATCAAATATACAATACTTCAAAAGGATACTAATTGCTGATAATCGGCGGTAAGGCTAAGACAAATCTTTAAATGTATACCCAGGTTAGGGTCACCATACGTTACATGTTACCGGTTTACTAGGACTACGGTGCACCATTTTGTCCGGCAGCAGTAAATAAAACAGATGTTACACGGTCTACATAAATTAAGATTATTATTGAAAAATACAGTTCTGACAGATAGTCTACCAACAAACTATTACATACAATCTTGAAGTTGTGTGCGTAAACAATTATATAAATATTTGTTATAAATCGATTAAATAAAAAACGTGATTCGTAAAAATAGTTAAAATTCAACTTATCACTCTCTTCTAATGGCGCGGGAGAGTATAGGCATAATATATTTCAGTCAAATTACACGAAAAAGTTTAATTCATTAATTAATGAAAATTAACTTTTTAGAATCCGGGTTTCAAATTTCCATATTCGAGTTGGGTTAGAGAAGAAGATTATAAAGATTCATGATTATTATTTGTTATATATCCCCTCTTATTGAAATACTGCGGGCACACCACAACATCTCTTTTCCGATGTTCGTTTTCATGAATGATTCGAAGCGTTTATAACAGCATAAACCTGCAGCCAATCAACCCTTAAGCAGGCGTTTGCCTTTTTTTAACGTTCATATAATCACATAAGAGGGAGTCTATCAGGCCCCATTCGTAAAAATGCGTGATATATGTATAGAAAGTTATTTTTTTTTTTTTAAATTCAAAGACAGTGAGTTACCATAATATGCCATATAAAAAGGGATACAAATTTAATAATAAAAATAAATACAAAACTATATTATATTATAATTAAATGATTTGTAATATAAAAGTTTTATTTTTTATGGGAGGGTCAATAAGACCCTCACGCAACTGCTTAAGGGTTAAGTGTATTATAGGATTATTGAAAATTTCGTTTCTAAATCAATAATTTATACAATATTATGTATTTTAGATATTCTAAACAGAATATGCGCAGTTATAATTCAGTATTGCAACGATGATAGTGATTACTGTAGTATACTATCGTAGAATTGTGGCGGGTGTGAACTAACTGGGAAACACGATACACGTCCAATTAGAGGAAAACAATATTATTATAACCTTCCGATTAGTAAACGCGTACATATATTTATATTTATAGGACATACAGACGGTCCTAAGTATATATATATATATGTATATATATACATTCCTAAGTCATGGGCCTATACGTACATCCGGTCAGGATATATAAGGGTTCATGTACATATAGCCCCTCTTTCATTATTATTATTATGATGCGCGTAATGCGTCCGGTGTTACCACCCGCGCATATCGAAATACCACGTATAAATATAAAACGTCTGCTCACATAGTCGTGGTCGGGATCCATCAGTTTCGCGCAGCAAAATATTATAATTTATATAATATTTCGTACAATAGATACTTATATTATATGGAAACCTAGAATATTATAATATTATATTAAATTCAACGAGTCGAATAAATACCAGACGTCACATTTTTACAAAATAATATTTACGAACTACGATGTATCGATAATATATTAGTATATTACAATGGAGAAATACACAAATTTAGCATACGTTTTTTTATTATTATTATTTCTCGATAATATTTACTTATAGAGACAATTTAACTTTTTATCTCTTTTCTCTAATTTATTAAAAGCAATTTTGTTATTCCATATGTATCTGTTTCTAATACATTCCCAAAAAATATTTCCCATTTTTTCCGGGGCATCTTTCCAAATGTCCCACATTGGTATTTTACTTGTTTATTCCCAAGCCCCATTCTATAGTTGTTCTGGTTCCCTATCATTAATTCTATGGAATTGCATGTCCAAACCATTGCAGTTTTTGACTTTTAATTAAATCTAATATATACTGTAATTTAGTTATTCTGTTTCGTTTTCGTTTATACCTTATTTGATGTATCTTGATGTATCGCGATTGGAATTTTTATCTCAATTTTTATTGCATGCTTAGAACAATCGTATATTTTTAGAAAAAATAATAACGATACTTTTAACTAATTATAATTGATGAATATCTCGTAATGTTAATGCATATTTAGATTGCTCGGTTATAATAAACGAGTCCAGAGTTGGTTATTAAGGATTTCATATTATAAACACAATCTCAAATTTGTAGTATTTTTTACAATATATTTTATATAAAACGTGTTGAATGAAAGTATTTTTTAATTTTTTAAATCGTTCGACAAATAATAATGTTAGTTGAGTGTAAAAAAAAAACCTATAAATATATAGCAACAAGAATACGAGAATATTCGTTCGGTCGGTTTGTTATTATATCGTCAAAAACGTATATTTTAAAAAGAATAACCTCACCTTTTTTTTTTTTTTTCATAATATACCTACCTATAATTTACAGATAGAAATTTTACAAATAAAAAAAAAATCTCAACGATTTTAGTAGTCGTTATTCTATAATAGTCGGTGTACTTGTATCATATATAGGTAGGTACTTTTAATGTTTAAATTACTATCTATAACATGTCGTGTTCACCACCCAAGACGTTCCCGCCTACCAAATATACATTTTTCTTTTTTTTTGTACATGAAAAAATAATAGAATTTTTACAATACACATTTTAAAGTCTTAGGGTATTCATCACCGAACAATGATTACCTATATATTAAACACTAAATATACGTGTTATTGATTACAATTGGAATTTTCAACCAACATATCACTGCACCGTGAGTATAATACCATAATATATGATATTCTTTATATATACATGTAATATAGATTAATTTATATTTCTCAATACTCGATAGTAAAATAACTAATCGAATCGCATTGTATAAAGTACAAGTATATATACTTGTAGTAGTATACCTATATAATCGTTTTCATTAATAATTAAAATTTAGTACACGTATTAAGTACATTAAGACTATGTATAATTCATTATTTGCAATGCAAATTGCAATTCGATTTATTTTTTAATTACATTTTACATTTGTTCGATTGGAAAAACAAACGGGTCCCCATCTTTTTTTTAAAAAAAAAAAAACCAAAACTAATATTTTAGAATGCGGTTAAATATTTTAACGTAGGGATTAAAAAGTTATTTATATTCATAACGTCGCCTATATAACGGGAAAACTCTTCTTTTTTTTTTTTAACGTAATAAATAAACGAAAAAAAGGAAAAATACAATTAAAATATCAATAAACAAAACGAATTCCAATATAATATAAGCAGTAACCACGCGTTAAAATCAAAACTAAAAAAAGTATTACCTTTTACTAGCATAAGGGGGGAGGGAGGGGGATCGAAGGTTATATCCATCCTCAAAATTCGAGTTTTTTTTGCACGAATTCTATATAATATATATAGTTGCATAATTTTTATTAAATTTTCAGACATTTTCTTTAGTAATTTTGGATACGCGTATAGGTCACGAACTTTATTTATTTTTTATATCTTTTATTATCTATAGTAATTTTTTATACCTTCAAAATTTTGAATTTTAATAAATACTTTAAGTTCAAAGAAAAAATGTATGCAGTCAATTACCAATAATAATGATAGTCAATTAGCAAATGCGATTACAGCCTGCTGCATAATGGCTGTTTTTTATAATTTTAAAAAATTATAAACAAATTACAAATTTAATAGAAATGAAAATTTTAAAATATACATATTTCTAATCCTTTTCCCCGTTAGTAATATATATATATATATAAACAAGATTTGATTATCTTTATTATCTCCGAAGTTATATTAATGGGCATATCTTCGTGGAACACCCTGTATACACAAAAACTATTACAAATTAACTATCAAAAACCTATTCTATCCCACTCCTATCCTAAAGTCAGGTGATCTTGCCGATGTCTCAAACTAACGTCTAATTACAATTCTACCCCATTTTTCTAATTTATTTGAGACACTTGTACTAAGTTCGACTCGCTCTTCATTAAATCATATACTGGTTGATGAACAACACGCCTTCCGTCCAGGAAGAACAACAGTTACTTGAAACCTCAGTCTTCACTCATATATCTTTAACTTTCATCACATTTTATTAATCTATATACATGTATTTGTTATATAATATTATATTTTAGTGCATAAATACTAAGTATAAACATTGTAATCTGGGCTAGTCTCGTAATAAATAAATAAATAAAAAATAATTGTATTTTATGCTCGTAGTACCTACGGTGTGAAATAATATATAGATTTGTTCCTTTTTTCACGTGGAACCCGAAATAGCAAAACGTTAATTTGGCCTTTTTATAAACCTAAATTTGGGTTCTTTTTAAATAAAATACAAATTTAGTTATAGTTTGTTTTATTATAAATATTCTGTATTCATAAAACATCAAAATTACACGATTATTTTAATAATACAGATGTAAACATTTCAGTCTTTTATCATTATCATACAGCAGCAATGTTCGGTTTTCGTTCAGAACAACAGGTTCTTCAGTCAATACAAGTATACTAAAAGCGGCCAAATCATAGTTAGCTACCAGAGATTTTGCTGCGTGATAGAATCAATCTATACCTAGAACTCTGCAGGTTTTATTGTGTATGAAACTATGAACTAAAATATGAACGTAAATTCGAAAAATCACATTAAATAAATTTGTAACTAGATCAATTATTTAATCAAAATGTTAACAATTTAAATTATTATAGGATGAGTGTCAAAAAATTTGACATGATAAATACTCCGGATATATAGGTAAAGTTTGTAAACTATATACGATCGGGCACGTTATATTTTAATCCATTCAAAATTAGTTTACCCACGGCATTGAAATGACCACGTCCGTATATTTCACGAAAATGATTAATGGAAATTTGGATATAGGTACCATTCGGTAATCCTGATCACATCAATCATTAATTTTTTTTCAAATAAACCGTATGGAACACTGGCCATTGAAACTCGAATTTCAAACGTAGTATTGAATATTAGTTTTTGTTGTTGTCAGATAAATAAATAAATGGTTTGACCATTATAAAAAAATACAGCAAAAATCACCATGTACGGAGAATATTTTCACCGTAGGTAATGAATTTTTTTGATTTTTTTTTTTTAATATGTAATTCAATATTTGTCTATGTTTTTGGAAACCTGTTACTAAAATATTATATAAGCAACAATAAAAGTGTAATTATCAATAATATATATTTTTAAAATATTCCCCGATTTTAATAAATAAACAAATCATTGTTTACAAGTTAAAAAGTAAGGTATATGACTTGTCAGGCATATTCTCAGAAAATTAAGCGATGATCATAGTTTTATCATATGAAATAGAATGAACTAGATTCAAAGGACGAACAAACATAAAACACTTCACATCTTGTATACTGTTAATTGTTTTTAATATTTAAATAAAACTAATGGGAATCTAGACAAATATTTCAAATAAAGTACCATTGGCTGAACATTTTACATCTTTTAATGTACTCTGTAAAAAAAACGAAGCATTTTTTCTTCTCCAAAAAAATGTTTGCAAAAACATATACATAGTTTTTTTTTTTTTTTTAAATATATTCGTTTACGATCTTTATATACATGTATTAACACAATAATATGTGGTATACTCGCTTAAATCAACATCAGTGTTAAATATGAAAGGATTATATTTATGTTTAATAAATCAACGGAAATTATAATTTATAAAATATATGATATTAAAATCGGTAGTTTAAAAAAAAAACCATTAGCGTATTTTAATAGCTAAGAACGTTATTGACACAATTCGTCAATCAATTAATATTACTATCGCATGCGACCACGGTGTTTAATTATTTATGTTGTGTTAATAAATATATTATAGTGTTATAGTGTTACTAATTCGCAATGCAACATTTTAAAATGTAAGCATATAAATGTAAATAAACGATCATAACTACAGAGTAATTTTGATTTAAGGCAAAAGGGATTTTAATGCCCTTTGATTTGTCAAAGCTTGTTAGTTTTGTTATAAATTCTTTTCATGTATTTTTTTTTAAATGAGAAGAAGGCATTTTATTTTGCATTTTTTAACAATTTTCAATTTGCAAAGAATTTTTGTCGGATTTGTCCCGAAAATAGAGACTATTGCACTGCAGTATTGTTTATTATATCTGTTATATATATTATAGTATATAATCTTATATAAATCATTTTCCCGGTAATTTTGGATACTTTTAGCGGCTTTCTCTCTGGACAAAAATAGCTCAAACTCGGGATTTGGAGTTTCTTTTATGGGCGAATTAAAGTAATACAATTTTGATTCAATTTCAATATGAACTTTATCGTGTTATTGCAGTACGAGAATGGTTTTTACCTTGATATACTTTTACAGACCTTCCAGGAAAGTCAGGTGGATAATTGTATTATTATACACACATGGTGTAATAATGTGTGTTTTGGTGATTTAAACTTTTAACCCCTTCCCCAGCTATTTTTAAGAGAGCATATTATAGGTGCATTATTTTAGAACATAAAAGTATTTTTTTTTTTTTTTTTTAGAGCATTTTCGGGGTTTTATAGAACAGTATTGCATTATCTACTTAGCCTACTAATCAGGTTAAGTTAGGTAAACACATTGTGTGTTAAACTTTTGTTTGAGATTTATATAGCTAAATTTTTTTAAACGAAGAGGTTGTCGCTGCAATAAAAGGCATAACTCTTGTCAGAGATTTTACATTGTTTTTTTTGTTCTGTCACAGAAAGTAGTTATTATTACAATACAATATATTTTATTGATCCTCGGGGAACCGACGTGACGCTATAAGGTAGTTTTCCATTCTCCACGGCAGTGTAATCCAGTCACTTTTGTTTTTTTTTTTAAATTCTGATAGCTGGATCGAAATATATATTTTAAACCCCGGTTAGTAAATAAAAACAACTAATATTATTTCCCGTATACGGGAAGATATAAATTTAAAAGACATATATTAAAATAGAACGTGTAATTGTCGACGCGATCAGTTAGTACAATAACGACGTTGGTTATTTGTATTATGTACAGGATATGTCCAAGGAAATCTGTAAAATGTAATAACTTTTATTCTGTTCATTACTTTTAAGTTTTTAATATGCATATAACTTTTAAATCATTGCACTATTTGTTCACTTTATAATTTTTTATTAAAAATGGTAATTTTTAAATCTAAGATAGCCATACATTTTGTGTCAAAAATGTTTATTATAACAATGAATCGTTAATTTTCTAAAATGTTTTGAAGTTTACAAGAATTATTTTTCATGGATAAATTGATTGATCGATTGATATTATTTATAGTAAGTACCTATAATAGCATTGAGAAAGTCTAAACTATAGTAAACTTTAAAATTATTTAGACAATTAAAGACTCAACATTAGAAAACTTATTTGTAACAACGACGTGTTGTCTAAAAATTGTAATTTATATAAAATTATTATTTTGGATTTCATAACTAAGAAAGATTTATATGTCCGTGAAGTTAGCCCCCCTACTTTGTCCTATCGATTTCAGATCAATTTCAAAATGTATTACCTTTTAGTAACTAATTGTAACCGACATCAAACAATTTGTAACCAAACAATTTCCAAGAAATCTCAATTTTCATTTCAAATTAAAATAAATTAAATTGGAGAATGTTACGAAACACCATGCAATTATCAAACTCTAGATTTTTCTTAAAGGTAAATATTACTTTTGTCAGGTAAAATAAAAATCTTGTGAGTCAGTTGCAAATGATAAATATATAAATAAATACGTCGCTTAAGGTATTATGAAATGTGTATTGTACGACTGGTTACGAATTGAAAATGTATCGTCAGGTAAAATCACTAAGTCAAAAACTTAGTTAAATAATATTTTTTGAGAATAAAGGTGATTATAATCATGTAGTATTATAGCATCAGTTTGTGTAGGTTTCCTGTATATACTAAAATCAAATTTATTTTTTATTATGGAAACCATAAGATCTAAGAAATTTAATTTATTATATGTATATAATATATAATAATAATAAATATATTATTTATATATTTATATATAAGGTTATCAAATTTTGGAATTGATTCAGAGTCGATAGGAAAAAGTCGGGGGTTGCATGAAGTTAGCCCCTTGAAATGATAATTGAGATTTCTCGGAAACTGTTTGGTACAAATTGTTTGATGTTGGTTACAATTAGTTACCAAAAGGTTACTAAATTTTGTAACTAGTCCGGAGTCAATTGGACAAAGTCGGGGGGCCAACTTCACAGACGTAAGATTTAAAAAAAATTACCGCGAATATAATTTGCAGTTTAAAATCGTCGTAGCGGAAAATACGGTACGATGAGTACCTACCGAATGCTCCTGCGATAAAACGGAAACTTAACGATTTAGATAAGGAACTAATAAAATAAAACATTAGGTCGGAGACGGATCAAAAAGTTAATTTTTGTTTTTTTTATTTTTGAGGGGGGATAGGCAAAACCATTACCAACAATGAAAAAATATATATTTTACCATAATACAAAAAAAAGGTGTACTAGCTTTACTACGATGTTTGGGGAGGGAGGGTAAATTACGTTATTACCCCTACTGAGTCCACTAGTCCACTACTGTACTTGGTCCATACAAATCATCGGACAGACCGGTGTAATATTATACAAATTTGACCCAACCAATAATAAAAAATGCGCCAGCAGACGACGACGGCTGTTACCTACGTAGTAAATATGGCGACTATTAATGTTTCATCGACCCTTCCATGACCCTGACAATAATTATAAGGGGGCCATATATAGAGGAGGAAATGAACCGTATAATATAAACTGGACGGTGCACGCGATGGCCGCGGGTTATTGGAAACCCAGAGCGAAAACCCGCGTAATGTGCGCCAGTTGTAAACATATTTTAGTCATCAATAGGTATACTTGAACAGTGACGCAATCAGGCTACATTTTTGGTGAGGGGGAGGTTATGCATTTCAAAAAACTGTGACTGCTCACGAGTAAGCCACTGTTGCAGGTGGCTAGCAGGGAAGGTATACGAATACAGGATAATTTAATTTATATACTTACTATGCAACGATTACTCATTGCAAATAAAAAATAACCTATTTTCAGCGGAATAATAGTATACTATAATGGTCGGTTTTATTCATCGTTGCCAGGGAAACTCACAAATCAAAAATAATCAAACAATTGAAAAAGCTGAAAATCTCGATAAATATTTCAAATAAAGTATTATCAGATATAAATTCCGCATCTATTATACTAAAATATATATTTATTAACTATTAATAATATTATAAAGAGAAAAGATTTGTTTGTATGTTTATAGTCGATAAGCTTGAAAACTACTTAACCGATTTTAAAACTTCTTTCACCTATAAAAAGTTACATTATTAGCGAGTAATATGAGCTGCTGTATTTTATTTTCAAAAAACTAGAGATTCCTACGAAAATTGCGGTAATTATGGGTTTTTAGGTATTCTTGATACAAATACTTAATTGTTTTTTTATTTATTTTTGTTTATCACGGGTTACCTTGGTAACATGGATGACAATTTGGTAGTCATGGAGAATAAAACTTGTATTATTATTATTATTATTACTACTTATATTTACACTATTATTATCTAGCAATAGTAAAGAATTTTCGGGTCAGCTATCCTATATAAAATCTTTACATTTTATATTTTTCCCCTCACATATATTCATGGTTTTTATAGATATATTATAAATTATACTTTTATATTTATGTACATATTTTCGAAATTTAATTACCTACACACATAAATCCGTTCCTTGAAATTAATAAAACACATATTATTTATTTTATTAAAACGGGGTTTCTAGCGCGTATGAAAAGCGCTTATGGTATTATAATTGTATTGTTAGGAATCATAAATAATTATTATTATAGACATACGATTCGATACCTACCTTACCGAAAACCGAAAACGGTATCGAACGAACATTGAAACCAACAAAATTATTAATATCGATTTCGATGTTTTAATATATTAATATGATAAATAATAAAAACGTGATAACCTGCACGTCATGGTTAAATAGATTAGATTTATACAGTTTTATTGTATTTTATAACGTGTTTTTAGATGTAAATTATAAAAATGTTTTATAATAATAAATCGAATATTAAATTAATATTATTGAATCGATCTTTTGTTTTCAAACAAAGGTATCAAGAATCGAGCATGTAGTATCAAATTCTAAATAATTGTTGGTGTTGCCTATCCTGAATAATAATAATATCCAATAATATACAGTTCAGTAGACTATTGTTAACATAATATATAACATTGGCATTTTAAAAGCGACGGCGCCATAACGGCATTCCTGTCTAGTCACCAACTAACCGTTTTACAATATTTAGGTAGGTTCTCATACATTCCACTAGATGTCCTTTTCGAAAGTATTTCGCAATTTTTTTTTTTATGGGATCACAGTTGAATGTTACCAAAAAAAGATCATTTATTGCATTCAACGAATTTGATAGGGATATGGATTCTCTGAATAAACGTTGCTCAGTGTAGGCTACCTAAATAGTTTTTCTTTTGATATAACACGATAAATAATTTAATAAAACTATATATTAGAGCGTGAATTTATATGAGTTAAAAAAAAAGAAAAAAAAAATGTTTAACAATTCACTGACGAGAAAAGTACAAAATATATTCAAATATGTAGATAGGGATAAAGATAAGTATTGAACAATATTTATAACTTATGAATCTTTCAAATATGAAACCATATTTAAATGATACAATATGTATTTTGTCGTCATTTCAAATTTATCGAAATTGGTTGATTTTACAATGTCTCGTAAAAACGATTTTTATTACTGATTGAAAGAACTGATTAAATAAAATAGTATTACAGTGCTGCTAATGGATAATATTACATATTAGTATACAAGTCATAACTGTATATGTGAAATATGTGAGAAAACAAAAAATTATTGTGAAATAATACCTATATGTAAATACATGTATTTAAGATAATATATATATATATATCACATACTCACATCCACATCGCGTTAAATTAAATCAAGTTAGGTTTGGCGTAATTACACAATATGGATACCTAAACTATACATAAACCATAAAGCGAAACAATACACTCTTATCTATTTTTTTAACAAATTTCGTTTTTCACATTTAATTTATTTGACAATTATAGAAAATAATTTTAGTTGTACATTTTCTTTCACATTATAATAGCTAGAAAAAACTACAAACTCCAGTCACTGCCATATAATGTATAATATAAACCCTCTTTTTATTTTATTTGTATATTAATATCAAACACGCTGAACTATATATTTTATAATAATAATTCCAAAGGTTTTTTAAAATTTAAATTAAATAAAATACTCATAATATATATTATACAGGGTGTTTACTAATTATTTAACATGTCATTTTTTTTTTTTTTTTGTTCAATAATTTTAGTAAAATGTATTTCAATAATTTATAAACGGGTTTGATAATAATAATAATAATAACAATAATAATAATAATGTCTTCAAATGAATTTACTCGTACAATACTCATTATTATTAACGACGTTTCATTATTAGTATGCTGTTTATAAACTGCAATTAATTTGTGTATATTCTGTGAATATATAATAATAAATACAATTAACATTGCAATTAATTATAAATAACATTTAAATGTAGACACGACTAATTTTGTATGTAAATTATATTATTTCCATGTATATTAATACAATATTCAATGGCATGTGCGACATAAATTATTTACATAGTGAAATATTATTAGGTAGTCAATTTTTTACGCACGTCGAGAAATAATATATAGTTAAATATTTTACAGATATATGTACCGTCAAATTTTTTTAAGATGCTTTCTTTGAAAAATACTTAAGTTTTTATCAGGTTAAAATTATTTTTTGTATTTTTTTTTTTTACAAAATAATGGCATGAAAAATACAACATATTGGCTACTATAATTTAAATTGAAAAAGATTCGTCATGAAAATTAATATTATGGGGGAGAGGGGGCATTATCAAATGCATTTTTGGTTGATGTCATGTGTAACTAAATATATAGACTCGTGTATTTAAATAATTTCAAAAAACGATTTTTTACATAGATACTTGTGTATCATTATTTTTTTTTTTTTTATATAGGTGTATTCAATTTATGCAATGTCGTGTTGCCGTAAACCTATGTCTTATACTATTTGTATATTTATACATATAAAAAAACGCATATTTAATACTTATGCACGTCAATTATTGGTGTAAGAACCACAATAGGTTACAAATATATGGTAAATCCGAAAAAAGATTTAAGATAAGTTTTTTTTTCATCAGCTACTTATAAATAATTTACCTCATTCATACAAATACGACGGTCGTGTTCAAGATAAACTCTGTCGAGGCGATACCAACGATATATTATTACATGTATGTTTTAGCGATATGTACAGAGGATATGAAGGTTATAATATATTATTATATATTATACTATTATTCATTGCATAATATACCTATACCAACTTTTTTTTCCCATTATTATTGTTATATAAAAGAACGAGGGGTTATTTGCCCGAGTGTCATAGTACCTATACCTATATTAATTTCTTCCCTTCGATTGTACTGTAGCCATTGCGCTGCACACAAATAAAAAGAAATATTTATAGGTACCTATAAAATATATACGTGTATAGAAACACAAGTGTTGAAATTGATGTGTACCTACATATCGAACTTTGTATTTAAATGGATATCGTATAGATTAAATAGATTATTGTTATCACACACACAAATCAAAAATCATGCAACAAAAAACTTCAGATGCTGTTATTGGATGTGCTTTACTGTTTTAGGAAGGAATTTGGAAAGAAGGATACATTATACAGTAATTTAATACATATATGCAAGCAACATGATAAACCAACGCGAACGTAAAACGATTCAAAGTATTGTAGTCGTACTTTTTCCTTTATTGTTATGAGGGTAAACCGGAAATCAACAAAACTAAACACGTAATTTTAAATTTTTCCCATTTACTAAGAAAACTACAAGGATAGTCAAAAATGACCTCCCTCGCGTTGCATAAACTAGAATAAATATGCTAAAAGAAAGTTTTTATAAAAAATATATCAATCGAAATTGCATGAAAAAAATAGACGATAAAAATGGACGTTTCACTGTTTTTATTTAAGAAAATGTAAATTTAATTGCACACGTTTACACAATTTTTGAAATTGTGAAAATTGGCTCAAAATATCTATTTCGGTACCACCTTTCTACCTTCATAAGAAAAACTCAATTTTGATCAAAGTTCATCCGGTTTAAATATTTGGTGTTGCTATTCGGATGAAACGCGCTGTATAATTATATGAGGATGTTGTCAAGTGACGATAAACTCTAACATAATAATACTATTATTATTAATTAAAATGTACTCGGATGGAAAAGGATTTATAGTAAATAATTATTACACCAGACATTTCGTTGGATCGTAAAAATAACAAACGATCATAATAATTATTTTTTAAGTATAATTGTTAAACTATAAACACTAATCGTGAAGATAATACGAGTTACCGATAATATTCAAAAAGCGTTGTCAGCGCAGTAATTATAATTTATAGCTACTGCAATAGGATTCATAATACTCGTAAATTACACAATTGATAGTGTGCACATATTGATTCAATGAAAAAGAAAATGCATTAACAAAACCGATGTGTACTATATAATATGTGTATAATAAATATTATCGTTACACAGGTAAACAATAATAATAAAAGGTAATAATTAAAAAATTGAATAGATAGTAATCGACTGCTATAGCTGTTTCAGTCGTTGCGACATTTTCGTATGCTGCGAAACATTAAACAGTAGTATAATTAGTAGTATAACAGTAGTATAAGCTAGGCGGTATCCATATAGATATGTATATAAAATAACTACCTATAGGTTAAGGTTAGCCAATTGTATAATCTATATGACATATTTTATCACATAACTAATTCTTGGCTTAAACAAATATACGAGTATTTCGTAGGCAAATCAAAATTTACCTTTTGGTGTATATATAATATATTATGTCTGTAGACAAACTATAGAAACGGACTGCCCATTCCCTGTATCTATATGTATTAATGATTGATGCCATAATTCGGGCCATTCACCCTCACATTACTAGTAAAATATTACGCGGAGGGGAAATGTAAATAACTGTATTTTCCATGAGAGCTATCGGTTCAAATACAAATTTTTAACAATTTCCACAATACATCTAACGTTCAGAATACTGATATGACTGATAGTAGGAAATATTATCTTGGAGGAAAGAAAGATTATTAATTTTTTTCCATTGTTTTTAATTTCCAGTCAAAAGGCGAATAATCCGAATGAGAAATCCACAGGGGCGCAGTCCATTTATATTAAGTCTACGCTATATACGGCTGTACAGGCTTCCCATTTATATATAGAGAGTCGGTAATATCTAGGTGCTACTTGCTTTATATATCTTTATAAGGGTATATGGTACAATACGTGTTATGAATACGTTTTCCGAAGAAAATAAAAAATAAAAATTGAAGCAATTAACAATAATAAAAATCAATGAGAATAACGTTATAATTTTTAACTATATTATTAATTGTTTTCATTTTGTCCTATCTTATTGCTACCGTTACCTCTATACCTGATCCAGTACACGAACGAAAATCGTAATAATTTATTACGTATTATTTTATATTTTTATCTCCGACCCGTATTTTTAAAGTATACCACATACACACACACACACACCAAATATTTTCTCGGAGAAATAAAACTGCCGGTCTACATAAATCGCTGTCCCTTTTTTTAAGTAACCCGCGAAAAGTACGAATGGAATATGTCCCGGAGAGGAAATAACATTAAATGTAATAGATATAAATTATTATACAAGAATTCACGGGACCGCAAAATTTGTTCGTTATTACCATTCAAGTCAATACAGGTAACAGGCGAAATTCCCGTCGAAAAAAAACTTAAATAAATCTACAGTGACTATACACGTATATATTGGTCACCTTTGACAGAAAAAGAAAAGATAGTATTTGATAAAAATGATCTTCTTATTAGAAGATATATATTCACTGATATAAGAAATACACAACAATAAAATGCGCATGAATTAATTAACCGTAATAATAATCAGCTCCAGTTTCGTCTTATTTCTCCTCATAAAACTCTTCTTATTATGCTCTCTTATTCGTCCCTTGAAATGGTTTTATTCCCTGGGAGTCTTCCTCTTTCGGTAGTAGAATAATGATTGAGCGTGTCTAGAGGAACTTTCTCCATCGTTTTGCCATCAGACTCAATATTAGCTCTTCTCATTACAATATTATTTTCCCAGCCTTGCTAACCGCAGACATTTCGCTAATCTCATATTCTTGTCCAATCTTCTTACTGGCAAATCAGATTCTCCAATAAACTTTACCGGGACAGGGTTTTCCTGTCTTATTCATCTTGGCCTCATTTTTTTATCCTACTTTTCTACTAATTTACTTTTTTATTTTCCGTCTTATGTAATCTGTAGTCAATAACGAAAATATCAATTACGTTTTTAAAATTGTACCGTCCATTTGTACTTAATTATAATTTTACCACTTACATAGTTACTATTATTAGTATTTATATCATTGTTTTAGGATTTTCCCGTATGAATAAAATAATCAATAACATAACTCACTGGTTTTTAATAAGATGTTAATTATTGTCAATATTTTGTTATATAAAAGTTTTATGTGTATCCGATGTGTCAAAATGAATTTTGAAATAAATAAAATAGGTAATTATAAAAAAGCCAGTATATTGTGGGTGTATTGTAGGTACATTGATTCGAAACGCAAAATGCTGTGATTTTTACGATTTTGATCAAAATTCAAACTAAAACAACGCTTATAAAATTTTTAAAAAAATGGTGATTACAGATTTTCCATATTTGTACAGTACCATAAGAACAACTTAATGAACCTGGCAACCAATTTTCAAGTATTTTCGAGAAGCCGAAAAAATTGTATCCACATAAATACATACAATAATTAAAAACAAAAAGTACTCGATAATGTCGAATGGCAATTATATCTCGAAAATTGAAGAGAATGTTTTGAAAATTGTACCACATCTAAAAAAGGCTAATATATGAGTATTTGGTGAAAATTTTAAGTTTCTACGATTGTTTTGAACTGGAAAATACAGAGAAAAAAAAACAGAAAAACCAATATGTTTGAAATCAATTAACAATCGAATGTCGGATGTCTTGTAGTTTCGAGCAAGCACGTATATACCATTCCACTCTTGCAGAGTTTTCGACAACGAAACTTGGATAATCTCGATAAACGATACCTACTTGTATAATATATTATAATTTCGCTACAAATTATACTATAATATTATGCCATAGTTACTAAACGCATCCAAGCGTTGCGTTGTCTATAAAATAAAATATGAGAAATATTTAATTTTACAATAAACATCAGTAATTAGGCGTACTTACCTATTGGGAAAAAAAACCGTATTCGATTCGGTATAGGGGGTCGGAAAACGCGTGTATACCGTGTCTAAATAATGAAATACTACGTATCCGATAATCGCGACCGGATTCCAGGGATCCTCCCGCCAACGATAGCGGCGACGGCGGCGGCGGCGGTGGCGGCGGTCACGCCTTCCTCCCTGGGTTTTTGTCAAGCACACACGGGTATGTGTTATATTATAGATTATTATTTTTATATTTTACGAACGTGTGCGTGTTTTAGAGTAGCCGGTGGAGAGAGAGAGAAAAAAATAGTATAACGCACAATGACGACGACGACGATTTCAAAAGATAACATCACCTGCGCGTACACCGAAACACAACAGAAAAAAACCGGCTGTTCTGTGGGGTAGATAGATACGTATATAGGTAGGCCGAGCAATATAATAATAATCTTTTGAGGTTTTTTTTTTTTGTCTGCGATTACAAAGACCGCCGCCGCCACATCCATAGCATATACGTATATTACAGCTGTACTATATAAACGAAATGGTTATAATATTTAAGCCGTAAAAATTACCAACCGAAGAATAATCATGGTGACGGCAGTCGCCACGGTAATTCAGTTGAGCTAAACTCTGGTTAAACATATTATATAATAATATAATATAGGTTACCGCTTACATAGTCGATCAACCGTGTCATACCGGGGCCGGGGCGGTAATGGAGACTTCAGCTCTCCCCGAAATTTCAAATCGACTCCATTTTAAATTTTAAGCGCATCGAGGAATGCATACTGGTTTACAGATGTGATATCTGTGTTTCTTTGCCAGTCTGTCAACGACTTTTGTACCAGAAGTTTGGTTCCGATCATCGAATATAAAGTCTTTTCTAAAAGCAAAGTTTTTCTAGTCTGTGCATTCGGGAAGATCATATTTTAATTTTCCTCGTAATTATCATAATAGAATCGGCAAAAACTAAAAGGCAAAACGGAAAATTCCTTTTCGATGTTTGTTGATTCGGGGGTTAACTTGACAATAGGGAGAAAAACACGCCCAATATACTACTCCACTCAGAATCGTTTTTTTCGTGTTCAATGATATTTACCATTGCATACGGTGTATAAACTAAATTTCCCTGTATATCCTACTTTCCAAACTACCCATCTCCTATAACAGTAACCTACCCGTGAGAGTATGACCTTTTTATTTCGATTTTAACTTTTTAATACTTACACATAATTATAATACCTATTATACCTACTATATTTAGTGTCCAGATGCGAAATAGCTGCAAGACTCATTAATTAATTATTTTACCAAATGAAAAGCATAAAAAATCTAAATTTAATACAAATATGTAAAACCCCATTACAAAAATAATTATATAAGCGTATGCTCATACGCTCAATTAAAACTAAAAATTTCCTTTATTTTCTAATATATAAAATATAATATATCGGACTAAATTTGTTTATATTTTTTCAAGCATGATGAAACATTTAACGGGTTCGCGTTCGATTCTATAATAAATTATATTATTAACATTAAAAACTAACAATTATAAATACACTAATAAAAGGTTTCTTAACAGCATTTATGATTTCTGCATTTGATCATTGACATACTACATATAATAAAATAAAATTGTATAGAATATATTATTTATTAGTTTTTTAAGAGCGTTAGAGTATTTACAGAATGAATGTTTAAAAAAGAAAAAAACCAATTGATAAATAAGATTGCCTACCTATCTATACTATAAATTATCTGGAAATAAATTTAAATCCATGTGCCTCATTTGTCGAGTAAATATTAAAAACTAACCCCACACAATTAAAATATAAATGAGTAAGAAAAACGGTGTTTTTTTATTGTTTTTTTTGTCAAACAAATTAAGAATTATACATATTTATTTATTTTTTGTCTGTATCACCAAATAAATAATTATAATTTTTGGCTACCACAGGTTGAAAACAAAATAAAAAAGGTTTTTGAAAAGGGTTTTGATCACAATCTAGAATATTGATCATAAGAAATAAACTATCTATTATTTATTTAATTATTTTAAAAAAAAGTTTTTGTAGAACTTTTTCATTTATTAAGAAAACAGCAATAAAAAATGACCTCAATGCAAAAACAAGATAAAAAAAAATAAAAAGATAGATATATTTCACACGATAGATGGACCATTGTTGTAGGTGATAAGTTGGAAAGGTAGGATATAGAGAAAAATTTAATTTAATCTGTATGCAACGATAAACCAATGCTAACGAAAAACGATCTGGAGAGAAGTTTCTTTTATAAGTTTACGTACAATTTTCCCGTTTTTCCCAATTATTATGAAAACTGAAATACCACCCAGATAAAAAAAAAATTTCCTTTCAGAAAAAGTACTACAATTTGAAATCAGAGAAATATTTTTGGTAAAATAATTATTCACAGATAATAAAATTTAAAAAAATTAAACATCATTGTAAAACTAAAATACATTCCTAGCTAATACACTCCGAATGTATAAATAAGATTACAAGAAATAGTGAATAATAGCAATGAGAAAAACTGTCCATAGACACAAAAAAAAAATGTCTATTACTAGGGTCATGTTTTGATTTTCCGAGGGGTTTTCAAAATAATTGAAAAAACCGGAAACAAAATTTTGGGTAAAGACGTTACCGATTTCATTATTTATAATTCTTGCTAACTATGTTTTCTACTAGAAATTTGATTTTTATGTAATCAAAAGATACCTAAAGATTTTTTTTGTTGAATTTTGGATCTCGTTGAGAAGTAAGTAAATAGGTTTTTTATTTTTCCTGTAGTTTTTTTAATAATTGAGCAGGACTGAAAAAAAAACGTAGAAACAATGACAAAGTTTATGAAAATAATGATATTATTATTTACAATTTAGTATTTTTGTTGTAATTCCATTAAAAATGTTCGTAGAAACTTAATTGTTTAACAGAAGACTTATATTTTCTTTTTTAGTCGTGGTCAATTTTTAAAACATTTGAGCTATGTATAGACATTTAAATTTTAAGAGTTTTTTAAATAATTTGTATTTATTAGGTATAATGTTTTAACCAAACATAAATACTTAAAAATAGTTAAATTTGAAATTTATTATAAGTCGTAGATATAGTGGTAAAAAAAAAGAGTAATAATTTTTTTTTTATAAGAGTTTCAAAAATAAATTTTGACGAAAATCATAAATATTACGGACTTTAAAAATATGTATAACCACATTACGCTCCAAATCGGTTGTCGTTAGCAATGTTTTATCGTTGCTTACAAATATAAATTAAATAACTTTATGTATCCTACCTTCCCAACTTTCCACCTACAACAGTGTCACAAAAGTGTAATACATTGTCTAAATATACATTTTTTTTTTATGTAAAATTTCTGATAGTATTTCTATTTTAAGAGTATTTAGTAGGAAAATTATTCTTCTGTGTGTGTTTACTACATACCAACAGTTTCGAAACATAAAAAAAAAATATCTATATATAATAACGATTATATACTATTATATATATATATATATCGAAACGATGAAAATTTAAAAAAAGCTACTGAATTCGCGCGGATGGTCGTAATTGTTTTCCAGAATAATTCTCAGTTCACCGCCCCGAACAAATGCTACAACGATTTACAGGTCTGCGTCGAAAAAGAATAAAATCTGAATTTTAATGAAAAAAAAATCAGAGTACACGACTTTGCGCGACGATTTATAATACATACCACGCTTATCTCTTTGTGTCTCCGAACATAATATAATAAAGTAGACCATTCGTGTTTAAATATAATGCGGTCAATTTATAATAAACGATAATCTTACCCATTAGATCGATTAATAATACGAACTACAACAAGTAAGGTTAGGTTCAAATATTAGTATAATAATAATCAAATTGGAGTTTTTAATCGATCGAAAAATGATGGCAAAAAACAACTTATTTTGGTACTCGTGATGTATATAATAATTTAAGAGACGCATCCAAAACGGCGCGTGCGCCTGTCCGTCTCCTCGGCGAATTTCCTGTCACCGCTACGGTTTATTATTATAATAGTACAATAATAATAATTATTATTATTACCGTATTTATACGATATATGCATATGTTCATTCTTGTATTATTATTCGTTAATAACCGTCTGACACGCGTCGCTAACTAAACGTAAGGAAGTTATATACAGAGTGATTATTTCAGGTAGTACTTATAGATCATAAACAAATAGATGGTCAATCCCTATTAAACGCCTGTACACACATCTCTGTATGACGGAAGAGAACGCTATAGATACCACAGTTGTTAATAGCAGTTAGACTAGGATTGTCGAGCACTTATTTGATAATGATGAATTATAAAAATTCAGTTAACATTCTTTGAAGATATCAATGATCTAAGTGACATTATGGAATAACCGTGATTTGATAATTGGTATCCATTGTAACTTTAGTGGTAATTAGGGTTCTTTCTGACCACATATGTGAACAATATAGCATAGTAAGAAACACTGTAAATAGTGTAAGAAATTAACTGCAATAGCTACAGCCGATTTAAAACCCGATACTGTTTATTAAAAAAAGTTATAAAGAACCATAAGCAAAAACCTACAACCTTAATCGTTTATAAACAAAATCTGGTGAAAATAAAAAAAAAAGGAAAAAGGGATTTAATTTTACGTCGGGTAGGTCAAAATGCAACCTACCCGTAATCAAAAAAAATCACGTAAGAAATTGTTATGATTTTACATTTTTTGCAAGGGAATGATTAGTAACAGTAATTAGTATAATGTCTGATCTTAATAATTTTGTGACAATTAACAAAATCCGAAAGATTTTGAGTAAATTTGATTTTGGTTTTTTTTTCAATCATTTTAATGGCTAATGGCTGATCTACAAAATCGTGATTTTATTAACATTTTAAAAATTATATTCTTAATTCCACATATATTTATCAAAAATTAAAAATTTTATTTCAGCATTGGTTTGGTCTTTATTTCCTAAATAAACGTAATAAAAGTAAATTATTATTATATGTATTTCGTTGACAAATATTACAAATAAATTTCTACATTTACTCATTTTTTTGTGTCACCGCGAATAAACAGCAGACAAGGTAATATGCATTTTTTTTTTTTTTAATAATAAACACTACGTTGTTATCGTCAAACCAGAATTTCGTCTTTCTATAAAATATATAATAACTGAATATTCGAATACTGACATTATATTATAAACAAATTTTTGACACCCCCGCGTTTTGGTCGTTATTATACCATAACGCCAGTGAGCCGCGCGCCGACTTAATAACCGGTGTCGGTATACTTAATCGATTTCTACACTGTTGTACAGTGTGTCTACAGTACATTATAACCTACACTCGAAACGTCTATGCCATGTACGTAAGTACACAAGTGATCGACATATCTGTAATATTAAGTATACAGAGCGTTATTGTAACGTGTAGAAAATACAGGAAATTTGATACATTCGGATAGAGCAATATAATATATTGACGCGAAAAAAATTACGAGTTTTCATTTCGTCTTTTATTTATTTTCCTCGCCTAAAGGCTTACTGTATACACAATAGTATACATATTAGATGTTCCCGATTTACTATAATACGTAATACGTATATGTATTATATATGTGATGGAGAGGTTCGTGTCTGATTTAAAATCCATCCCTATACATAGTAAATATTCAAATACTATCAACGGGATGTACACGAGATTCAAAAGGTCGCTTATATTATGTGTATATATGTATATACAGAAAAGGAGGAAGAGTGAATTGTCGAAAATATAGACAGGCTTTACATTTTTTCCAGTATTTTTTGTCGAATTTTTCCCAAAAGTAGAGAACTGTATTACATATGCATTGTGTCAGTTATATATACTTAAATACCAATATATTTTCATACATTTGGATTTTTAAGCGACTTCCTTAGGACTAAAAGAACTCAAACACGGAAATAAGAGTTTTTTTTGTAGGTGGATTAGTTGAAGTGATAAAATGTTGGTTAAATTTCAATATGAACTTTACCATGTTGTTATGGAAAGAATGCGTGTTTTTTTAGTTAACACGGCTTCAGATTTCGCAAATTTATTCAGAGGGTGCAATTTTATATATATGTATTATATTTATATTTTATATATGGTGTACGTATCAAGAACACAATATTGGCAGCCTACACATATGATAAAATAATAATGGGTAAAATAGAATATCAAATAAGAAACACAGCAAGTAAATTAATGAAAAAAGGAGCAGTATTGGACTCAATATTAATCAAGATAAACTAATACTTATGGTATTAGGAACACAGCATCACTAAAATTTAATTGTAGTAAGATACATAATTTTTGAAAAAGTTCATGACTTTAAATACCTGGGAGTAGATGTGAATAAATAGGTAAATAGCTATAAGGGAACCAATCGTAGACTAATAGCAAGAAATATTTCTCACTGATACCACAGTTCAAGTCAAAGTTACTATCAAGAATTCAGATTTTACAAGTTTCCAATCAGGCCTATTCCACTATATGCATATAATGCGTTAGCATCAACGAAATAAGACGAAAAAAGACTGATAAAATTTAAAAGAAGAATACTATAACAAAGCTATTTGACTCAAGAAAGAATAATGAAAATAGTCAATACGAATGAAGGACCAACGCAGAACTAAAAAAAATTTTCAATGAACCCGTTAAATGAATGTTCTAAAGAGTAAACGGATAAGCTGGGTTGGAGATGTTTGGAGGGCAGAAAATGAATTAGTTAACAAGGTGTCAAAGTCACAAAATAGAAATCAAATGGACTAAGAGCAAGACACCTAAGACAGCAGAAGAGTCATAGAATTAGTGAAAACCTGAAGCGCCTAGAAATTAGAAATGGAAATGATCAGCATTAGATAGAGACGCATATAAAGCCACATTGGAAGCGACGATGGGTCGAAATAATCTGGAAAAACAGAAAGAAGATTATCAATTATTTTGAGGGTTTCAACTTTCAACCCTCCCCAATCATTCGTATGCTCAAATTTCATGTTCTCACAGGAAATGCCCTTACAAACTTATGCAAGTAAGTAACTTGATTAAAATGTGTGTGTGTATATATATATATGTATATATGTATAAAATTATTGCGAAAGATGTTTCTCTATTGAATTTCTTACCCACAACTCCACCATCTGTTTGTATGGTAGCAAGAATCTCAAAAACTTTTGATAACTATTTTGATAACATTTTTTAATTCAATTCCTCACTATTATAAAAAAAAAAAAAACATAACGAGAAGTCAGCTGAGGAAAATGTCAACTCTAGTGATTCTAGTGAGAATGACTGAAGCTCTCATCTTTTTATATATATATATATATATATTGTCAAATTTGTATTTTAAATGATACATCACTATTTAATTTTGTTTTATAATAATTTAATCAAATAATATTAATTAATTGAAATAATAATTTAATATGCCTACCTATAAATTCTAGACGATAATACGATTTATCTTTGGTTGGTTCAATAACATGTTGTGTATCACGCTTGACAATGAACTACAAAACCGTCTTTATCACATAATATTATAAAAGAATCTAATACTTATATAACATACTTTGATATGTTTAAACCATTGTATTAAATCACAATCTCGAATTCATAAATCAAATTCAGCATTCACTATAATACCTATTAAGAATAAATTGAATAGTTTTCAAAAAATATATAAAAGAAAGATTGTCTGATAAAAAATAATTTTTAATTTAAATTTGTGTAGTATTAATAATTTCTGTATCTCACACATAAAATATACACAAACGATAAAAAGAACGCAATTTATGTACTCGTATAAATTGTATGAATACAAATGTACATATCTCCGAACACACTCAAATCCAAATTATACACTGTCCTCGATACCTCTAATATATTTATTTATTTTTTTAATGTAATAAACTATAATCACGTTAAAAATCGCTTTTATGATCTCACCTCGAAGGCAGATATTAAAGTCATATTGTTCGGTATGTCGAACGTACGGTTAGGAACGATTGTCGGTATAAGCAGAAGAAGGCAGTTAATTTGGACCGATGCCCGACTGAGTGCCAACAGTGTCTACAACCAATTTCAAAAAAAAAATCCGGTAACGATAGTCGATGTGGACACGATGATGATGTATTTAACCGACGAGAAAACATTAGGTAAGCACGCCAAATAAACATCACGAGTACATTAAATATCGCAAAAAAGATAAATTATATCGAAAAATTCGATACTTACTGCACTTATAAGCTGTGGTAAACTGAGACGATAAAAAAAAAAAACTGGGATCACTTAGGGCAGACTTTTTTTTTTTTATAAGGTTATACGAATTTGTAACTTATCACAATAGAAAATATTTTCTTAAATGCACGAGAATTATCAAGTTTATACATATATAATATAAAGCGTGTAAAAATCTAGGCCATTACAAAATATATCTATTGATTAAAAAGCCTGATTCAGCTGATCATCTATTAACGGTAGCAGCCACTTTTTTAGAAGAGTAGTCGGAAGGGATGATATTATATAAGGTGATTTGATTTATGTTTGGATGGAACGATTTATACCATAATGGGTTAACTACGAGGTAAACTATAATAAAACCGTAATAAATAATAACAAATACGTAAATATTAGTAATGTACACGACATGCAAAGACCTAAAAGAGTCATGTTGTATATAAAAACTTCAGTATGTTTATTCATTATTGTTTATATACGTTTAAAAATAGTCTCATCAACGAAGAGTGTCGACTTTTATTGTTTCTACCAAAATAAACATATTATTATGATATTACACTTGGGTGTTGTAGTGTAAAACTAAATCTTTTGATGTGTAAAAACGAAATACCTTTTGATATGAAAAAATGAATAACGTGTATTATAATAATAATAAACGTATTTTTTTTCTGTCTGCGAATAACTTAACTAAAAGTCTTCTTCCAATCATCATTATCATTGGTCATTTCTGATGGAGTAATTGTTTCTATTTCATGGGATAGATCATTTTCATTATAGTTATAATGATAATGGGGATAAACCGCCTGAACAAAATCGGGAATATTTACGCAATTACAATTTTTTTTTTTTGAAATTTAGTAATTAGAAATAGCATTATAGACGTTTTCACCGAACACTTTTTAGTCGTGTTACAATTTTTCAAATATTCTCGCATTTTTCGATTATTATTATTATTCCTATTTGAAAATATCTGGTTTTATTAGTTTTTATTTTTGTTAATGTAATGCTAATTCGATACCTGGTACGTCATAAATTATAATAAATTATACTTGATAAAAAAGAAAAAAAGAAATTTACTTTATAAGCGTTTTGAGTTCAAATTTATGAACAAATTCGTCAAAAACACAAATAATTGAAATTTTTGTTTAGTTACACTAACAAATAAATACAATATTTTCAATTTATTTTAATCAAAACATGTTTTTCCTAATGGTTTTTTGTTTACAGTATTTTATAATTGTGCACCATATACATAAACTATATAACCCTATTCCCAACTTTCCATCACAGGGAACGCAGCAATAATGGGTATATATAAAACTACCATGTGGCAACCGACTGTCTGACGTTAAGTTGTTTTGTTACACTCAATTTCATATTATATTATGCACAGTGCCAACCACATTTTCCCGTAAGTTTATCTATGCTGATGATATCACTCTCACCACTCAACACAACAAATTTGAAGTCACTGATTAAATACTGAAAATGATCTAGACATCTAACATCAGAGTATTTATATAAGTTGCAGCTCATACCTAACACAGATAAAACTGTAGTAACAACATTCCACTTAAATATTCGACTGGCAAAATAAAAACCCCAAATTCAATTTTTGTGGGAAAAGACTTAAGTACGGTCCGACTCCGAAATACTTATAGAAGTGACGCTTGGTAGACAGTTAACTTTTAAACAGCACATCAAGAACACTGTAGCTAAACTCAAAACACGAAACAGCATCATTTAAAAATTAGCTGACTCAACCTAGTAGACAGCAATGCCCACATTGAGTAAATCGGCCTAAACTCTTTGCTGCAAAATATATTATTTCTACAGTATGGTTAAATAGTTCACATTGTAACAAGATCGATGTTCAACTAAACCAGTCAATACGTATCTCTGGTACTGTCAAATCGACGGCGACAGAATAACTACTGGTTTTTACAACATTTTACTAACACATATTTATGAGAATCATTATAAATTATTATACTTGGAAAAAAAAATTTAACATAATGTAATAATTTTGTGTATGCATTTTATGCCCGAATTATGCAACATAATTTTATTTTCGTGTTTTATCGGGTATAGAAAAATATTAATCACACATTCCATCGTTTTGATAAAATATCAAGTGAATCATATGTAATATAAAACGACGGGCACACGTAAAACAAGGTATTGAACTCGTATACATATACTAAATGTATACAAAATACGAATATTAATGTTTGATGGGTATTCAGGGGAGTGTAAAACATAGGTATTGCAATGTTAAAAAAGAGCTGATACTGGGAATGAGAGCGTTCACTGTCGTAGGTGAGAAGTTAGGAAGGTAGGATACATAAGGTTATTTCATTTTTTATCTGTAAGCAACGATAAACCGTTGTTGACGGAAGACAATTCCGAGCGCAGTTCGGCAACACATAATTTGAAGCGCCGTAATTTATTTTACGATTTTCGTTTAAATTTTGATTTCAAAACGCTTATCAAAAAAAAAAATTTAACAAAAATATGGTCTCTTTTCGTTTTTCAATTTGACCCATATTTGTGTTTGGAAAACGTGATAGGTACTTATTTAAAATAACGAAATCGTGAAAAAAGTGTATATTTTTCCCGGTTAATCGTTTTTATTTAAAATACCGTTTCGAAAACAAAAAATGACCTATGTATTTAAAAAAAATTAAGTACCATTGTAAACAAATTTAAAAAAGGAAAAAAGTCGTCCGATGATAAAGAAAATTTTACTACGTCTAGATAAGAGCAATATAAGTATTATTAGTAGTTTTAAAAGTCTCTACGTGTATTTATAACCGAATTACAGCAAAAATCTCCTGAAAATTAAAATTCCTTAGAAACTCAAAAGTGGCTCAACAATTTTGACGATAATACCGTCAGAAAGTAAATCAAAAAGGCAACAAAAAAGGTATCTTACGATTTTTCGATTAAATCATCTTTTTTCTGGTAAAAAACGTGGTCCGTGTTTTTATAAAATAATGAAATCGTGAAATTATACGTTTTCCTACGTTTTTTCCCACTTAAGTGATTTTATTTAAAAAATGGCGCTGAAAATCAAAGAATGAGCTCTCAGAAAAGTTGGGGTCGGTAAAGAGCGAATTTACTACGAAAAAATGAGTCCACAGACTAGAAAAAAAAAGAAAATAAACATCTTAGTAAAACCAATAGCTCCCTCGCTACGCTCGGAATCTAAAATGAAATATTACCAATATTAAGACAGGGAAAAATACTATACAAATTATTGCACATATTTATAATGACCAGCCTTAATCAAACATAATATTATTGTATCGCATACGTATATTATAGGATGTAATATGATTTAAAATATATCTGTTATTACATCGATGTATAAATGTTGCAGTCATTATGAAGTATGTGTTATAAATTATTGTACAATATAATATACTGCATTTGCAACAAATGCTAAAACCGTGCATTTTAATCATATATAATTATTCAGCTTATAACGAATAATATATAATATTGTTGTGCTAATTCTTTGACATCGAATGAAGTCGATATATTATAACCATAATTATACCTAATTACAATAATATAATAAACGAGTACACCGGTATACCTGCACTATATTACGTATTTTTTGTACATATACGATTTGATCACTTTCTCTGATAAAACTGATATTTCCTCGCGTTTTTTTTTTTTTTTTTTTTTTTTTTTTTTTTCATTTTTATATCAGTTATTACTAACACTCTTGTTCTGAAAAACCGTAATAAACAAATTATTTATTTTTTTTGGTAGGTACCTAATACTGTCTTAAGTGATTGAAATTTGAAATATATTTTTATTAGCGATAAATTAAAAACGCAACATTCGAATAGAACATCCAGAAACCATGCCCGAGACATAATATTGATTTTATTCGCATACACGGATAGAAACTGAATATCAAAACACAAACATAGCCAATGTCGATGGACTCAGAACTGCCATTAAATTATTAAAATCCTGCAATAACCTAAAATATATATTTTTAAAACGAGGAAATCATATGGATTTTAAATAGCTACTATATATAGGTACATACTGTGGATCAATACAATATTTCGGCTTTCAGTCGTCGTTATTATACCTGTATAATAATCGATTTCCGGATTTAAAATGCTCTAAAAATAGCCTTTTGACCACGTATAAATAATTTAAAAATTAAAAACGGTAACAAATGAAAAAAAAAAAATCCACCTTACACTTTTCGAGTATTTGTTACACAAATCTAATTATATTCTTGGAATGTAATAATATAATAATGATGACTTGTTTTCCTAGAGCATAAAAAAAAAAATCCTAGAGATAATATTCTGATTTCAGGCATACTTACTTTTAGACTACCTATCTAATTGTATAAGAAAAATGTCTATATAAGTCGTATGAAATTCGTACAACGGAATTAATGTGACCTAAAAATGTCTATAAACGCGGTAAACGACGAACACAAAGTTGAAATTTTACTCTCGGAGTATCCGAATGATGTGGTGCTTCGCGACGGGTTTTATACTTCCAGAGTAGATACACATAATAATAATATAAATAGTATATAGTATACTAGAGGTCTCGATTGATAACTTGAATTAAAAATTTCTGCTGACGTATACTTAATACCTACGTGAATTTATTATCCGATTTCACAACGTGTTTTAGTGTCATTTAGGTGAATACGCAGAGAAAATACGCGGAAAATAACGTGAATATACGTGTAGGTGCACGTGAATAATCACACGTATACACGGTTTTTTAAGTACACGATTTTATAAATTTAAATATTAATTTCTCGTGAATACGTGAAATCGTATAGACGTAAAATAGGGAGCCGGATAATAGGAAGCCCTAGTATAATAATATGTTGCGGTGCATCGGTTCGGATCAAAACCTTTAAACCAGAAATTCCGTTTTGTTCGAGGTTTTGTTGCACCATGTCCACTCGTTTGGACGATAGCGCACGCAACATACGAGAGTATAGCTTCTGAAATCTCAGTTTCCATATGAAATAAATTATATTATAGAATATCATATTATACCTAACCCACACACAATTTGTCGAACTGATATAAATATAGACGCGCAAGTTTACCTACGTTGCTCTTCCTTCGTTACAAAACTATCCTGTAGATACATAATTTATATCACACGAGTAACTGCACCTATATTTACTGCGGCGTGTCGGTTATTTGATCTACACGTAAATATTATTATTTCTCTGTTCACAGTGAAGAAAACAACAATAACGGAAAAAGAACAAATACTGCAGTGTGCCACTGTTGTAGGTGATAAGTTGGGAAGGTATAATAGTATACACACTACACTTAGTTATATAATACAATAAATCGTTATCACTAAAGAAAAACGATGCTATACATTTTTTTTTACTACTAGATAAGTAATAATACTTACGGTGAATCAAGTGATAAATTTTGAAGCATTTTACTCGGCCAAACCAATTTTATCCAAAAAAAAACTTTAATAAAAGGCTCGAACATTTCAAACAGCCAACAATATTATAGATATCTTATTACACAGTGTACAGAATTTTATGTTACAGTAATTGTCTCCTATAAATACACAAAATAAAGAATAATGTATAATGAAACATTTTTATAAAATAGTGTAAATTAAAATTATATGTGGGTTTGAATTTTTTAGATGCCCTTTTAGGGAAGATTTGGGGGGTCAACTTTTGAAATTCAAATGTGCACTAATCAAGCACCGCGCGCCGTGCCATGCCACAACACAAATGCATAGTGTTCAATTACTCTCCTGCCTTAACTGAAAAGTGGATTATCTCGTCAACGGGTCGACGAAAATCAAAAATTTCAAAACTAAAATTCATTTGAACAAATACTCCGTAAATCTATGGAATTTTGAAAATATTTTGAATATTAAGTTATTTAGCAATTATATCCTTAGGTCGTTTAGAAATTTTTAAAGTTTAATTTGATTATGTTTAAAACGATACAAAATTGACATAACCTTATTTATCCAGTATTATAATATTATTCTTCAAGAAATATTTTATCTCAAACACTAATTTTTTAGGTCTATTATTTCTTTTATAAAAAACAAGGCTAATAAGGTTTTGCGTTTTTAAGGCAATTATTATCTGTTAGAAAGACATGTGATAACAAATACCACTGCACTGACTACCTATTAATTCCATAACGGTTTATCTCTCTGCAGAATTCACCAACACACTTAGTACCTATGAATCAAAATCAGGACATAGTCCTGCAAATATCTGAATAATAATAACGTCACGCACAATTACTATTCGACGAATCTAAAAATAAATTTTCTAAATAATTATAATTTTTCCCTTATACGATAATATTATAATATCTGCAAATAATAATCGATAATAATAATATGACAATGACGAGAACTGTCACGAGAACAACATTATTAGAATTTTTTAAACTGAAATAAAACACCGAGTCTATAAAAAAAATACATTCAAATAGATACATAATAGATATGGATAGTATTTCTCGATGATTTAATCCCATCTAGTTTCTATAAGTCATATCTACAAAACTAATAGAAATATTAATTGCTAAAATTTAAAAAAAATGAATACAATTAATTTTAATTATGTACCTATATTATGCAATACATATTAAGTACCTAGCCGATAATATTTTTTTTACCAAATTTAGAAACGTTTAATAGCATTTTCTCTCCCCTTTCTGAATAATTTTCCAACATAAACAACATTCAGATTTTTATTGAGTGCTAATAGGTTATGTATTATAAGCAGATAATTTACAGGCTCTTAAAATCAAGTAAAAATTGGTTATTATAGTGATTTTAATAATTAATATTTAAAGAGAAAATTATTTTCCAAAAAAAAAAACAAATGGATTTTTATTAAGTATTTGCTAGGTATATTATATAAGCCGATCATTTACAGCTCATTTAAATAAATTATACGTTAACGAGTTATTATAGCATTTGTAATACCTAATTATTAATATTTTAAAGGGAAAACATTAAACTATTATAGATATGCTATCTCTACGCGTTAAAAAATTTTAATTTTAAAAAGCTTAATACCTACCTATCAGATTTAATTTTGAGTTTAATATAATTAATTAATTTAAAATTACATTTAAGAAAGGATATATAGAACGTAAGTATTATTACGATACCTAATATTATTCGTGATTAAAACGTTATTTTATGTTGAACAAATAAATAAACTAAAACATGTTAAATAAGTACGTACATACTTACAAACCGTAAGATTTAAATTCTAAATTCCAAGAAAAATATACTTTACAACTTTTTTAGCGTCTTAAAAATAGTAAAATTAAAATATTATTTTTTAGTGGCGATTTTTGACAAACGGACGTGTTACAGAAACTCTACGATAGAATTTGGAACAAGACAAAAACGATCTCTATTTATATTGTTGTGCATGTTATTATATTATTAAAATAAACACGGTTTTGTAAATTTTTACTGCGTTGTTTCTCGTTCCTTGCACCATCCAATCTTCCTAAAAAGCGAGAAATTGAACACGACTTTAAAAATGACACATACCTATAGTTTTAAAATGATATAAAATTAGGTGAGTCTCAAAAATTATTATTATTATTTTTTTTTTTTTAATCGTAATTCAATTCAATAAAATGTTTAAAATAAAATTATATCATTCAGATTTTAATCAAAAGTATATTTTTCCTTGTTTTGTATGGAGATTTTCTCAACAATTTTATAAGGATATATACTTAGGTAGATATTCTAAAAACGTATACCTTCTATGTTCTATATTCGATCTGCGTCCTGCTATCACGCATATTTATATAAAATAGGTAACTATATACATGTCAAAGGTTATAGAACGTCTGAAAGAATGTAGGTAAAGTTTTTTAATTTTTGTTTTTTTTATAAAACAAATTAGTAATAAATCAAAAATTACAATATTAATTTATTCGTCATAGAAACACTATAAATAATCACATACATTAATATTTTTCTAATCGTTAAAATTTTGAAAAGTCGTTTTAAAAAACCAGAATTTTACCAAGGTTTTGTAAAACTCAGGGTCCGTTAAAACATGAAAGCTACGCATTTTCCTGTTTGCATACATTTTACATATTTATTACCTATGCAAAGAAAAATCCTCTGTAAACACCGTTATTTGATTTCCTGTACAACACAAATCCAATTATAATGTCTAAGATTATTTAGTTAAATCAGATCAACGAGGAAGAAGGGAAAAAACTTCTAATTTCCCAAACGTTAGAATCTAAAACAAGCATACGCGATAAAAAAAAAAAAGGAGCATAAGCATAAGTACCCCGTTGGATCTGATAATCTCACTATAAACTATACTTCGATCTGTTCGAACCGTGAACCGAAGTGGAACTTATAGTATCTCATTTCTTCCCCGAGGAAAGCCTTAGTCTCCCAATTTATTTGTGGATCTTAAGTAGGAAATTACTCTAAAAATTACTTTACTCAATGGATCAGCTTTAAACTCGAGATACTGCAGGGGACGCATAAATAAGAAAAAATGGCATACAGCTATACAGAATTTTGTGCTTTCCTACAAACGTTATTATATTCTAAATCCGATCAATTTAACTACGATACGGCAAAAAAAAAGCCCAAAATATATCCAATTAGACGTAAAAATGTAATTCTATAAAAGTTATCATAATGTCGCAGTTATTTTTTAAGAATGCATACCTAATAATAATAATAATATTTAATTAATATTTAGGATGTAGACGAGGAAAAATGTATTAAGTACATATATATTTTGTTTTTATCAGGTGGACACCTACCAGAATTATAATTAGACCAGAGTTTACTTCGTATTTCTCACATCACAATCTACGGAGACCCGTTGGAGCTTACATTGTTACAAGACAACATGAATATCTTAAGCAGCCCAGGCCCAGCGCATTTTGTTTTTGCCTCACAAACATGTTTTTCGGGAAAAAAGTCTTACTAAAATGTATAGTCTAGTACCATTTCTGAAATGTAATTTTCTCTATTTGATACATAGGGAGGTCACTTTTTAATTTTCTAAGGGGTTTTCAAAATAATTTGCAAAAACCCGAAAGAAAATTTTACGCCGAACGGCAAATATGTACGGCAACGTGACGTACCCCGTTAATTATTTTAATTTTTGCAAACTATTGTTGCTGTTGTTTGATTTCCTATATAATTTTTTTTTATAAGGAAAATTGAAATATACGTAGAAAAAACGGGAAAATTTACGAAAATAATTCTTTTATTATTTCAAATTTTGATTTTTAATGTAATTTATATAAAAATGTTCTTCCAAACTTCAAATGTCGACGGAGACCTTTTATTTCCTTTTTCTAAACGTGGTTAAATTTTCAAAACATTTTAATTTTACGAGTTTTTATGTACCTAATTTTTATTCGGTAGGTATTCTGCGGATACAATTGTTAGACCAAACAAGAATGTTCAAAATTTAATAGAAGGTTTATTATAAGCTACACTTAGTAGTCAACAAGAAAAAGTTGAGTTTAATGTAGTTTTTTTTTTTTTATACGAATTTTAATATAAAATTTTGACGAATATCGTTAATATTATGACCTTTCAAAACGTGTCTAACCAGGTGCATAACCGAACTTCGCTCCGAATCATTTTTCATTAGCAATAGTATATCGTTAGTTACAAACATAAATTAAATAACTTTATGTATCTCATTTTCCCAACTTCTCGCCTACAACAATGACGGAACCCATACTCAGTATCAACTCTTTATTCCTGCAGATGCGTTGAACTCAGAATTTTAATATTTTCTCTAAAACTTTATACGTCTTTTAAAAAAAATGGTAAACTTTTAAATTTTTTAAACTATAATTTGAAATCAAATAAAAAATTAAAATTCAATGCGGTCTATTAAATATTACTATTTGTCAGTTTATAAAACATAAAATTCCTATTTCCGTGATTCATTTTCGTGTGTAAAAACGGTCGTACCCTTATAATAATTTAGGCATATTTTCGTTCACCACTAGTTTAAAATAAAACCCGATCATCTGATAGAAAAAAAAAAGAAATTATAACAACTAATTTTTAGTACATATTTCTATAGATGAATCAAATTATGCATAAAAAAAAAAAAAACACATACGATGGATCATTCCAACGACTTTACGTCTTTACATGCATTTTAATAATTCCTTTTATTGAGGGGACCCAAAAATGTTGATATCAATATTGCTAACCTCACGATAACGTGCAATTTGTTTTTCCGTTATTCCGCTTTCGTAGGTACGTTTCTATTCTATGCTACCTGCGATTGTTTTATTGTTTACCACGTATTTCGTGTAAGTTATAATATTTTACTTACTGCATCATGTCAAGAATTATTAGTAATGACAAAATATTGGCAAGTCTTGATAAAATTCGACAAATGTTGGAAACCCCTTCCCGCACAATGAAAAAATTCTTATAACTAATTAATGTTTTTGTTTTTGCTAGTAACCATTAGTTAAGTTACCTAATTAAATAGGCGGAAAAAATGTCTGCGGCCTGTGCCTGTACAATAATTTTAAAATGTGCGGCAGGTTATCGGGCAGTAGATAAGTGGCAGTCATATATTTAGGCGGTCGTTTAAATATCAAAAATAATTTTCAAATTTTACATAATAGGAGGACATTGGAAAAACGGCAACAGGCCTCTTAAGAACTAATAACGTCGAAAATATATTACGTCTTTGTAGTCAGTTTATATTGGTTCCAAAGTATTTCACCGCGTTAAAAATAAATGTTTTATAATCTACACATTCATCCATCCATCGATAAATAGAAACGGTTAAAAGAGAAAAAAAAAATCAGTTTCAATTCAAATCCTATTCGTGTGCCGTTCGTCAGGCCTGTCGATATTCGCCGGTAAATCGTATCGAAACGCGGCTGGTACTGAAAAATTTTGATTTCCTGTTTACGGGCTCAGACTACTTTAATTACTATTGCTTTTGGACCGGTAAAAACCCAGTGCGCCGTCCAGATTTGTAATCATTAATTTTCTCCCGCTATTTGGGGAAGAACATGTGGAATTTAAAAAAAAAAAAAAACCCGACCATTTGCTCAGACTAGAAATCTCCGATAAATTTCAAGCAGTGAGTTTACGGGTTCGAAACGGGTCGTCTGCAAGGTCGACAAATCGTTCGCGACAGCGGAAAAAAAAAACAAACAAATATAACATCTCTATAAGTAACGCCGAATCCAGATTTCAAATCGCCGGGATTTACCCACGCAATTTACGTCCGATTTGTTATTAATATTTTCGCTGTATCCTGCGGGGCTCGACGGCGACGATTTTTAAAACCTGTAGCGGAAACCCGACAACGGGGACATTTTTCATTCGGACGTCCACGGCGGGGGGATGCGGATGTCGATAGACGAAACGATTTCGCGCCTACTTTCGAACGGCCTCAGGGAAACGGATTCCTACGCGGTCTCTGGGCGGGGAGAGTAGTAGGCACTTTTACTCGGCCGACAATAAGATTATTACAACGGTGGCATCGACGACAACAGTCGGTGACTATTATAATAACGTACGTTTTTTTTATTTTTTTGCCTTGAACACGTGCGTGCGTGCGGGCGATCATTCATTCGCCTCGGTGTGTACTTAAAACACCGGCGACCCTCAACCAACCCCACGTCGCAGCACTCGACCACTGTCCGAGATTTTCGCGGTATTATAATATCGTAAATCCGAGCCCGATCGACCGGCCTCCCGTGCACATTTCTCGTCGCGGTCACCTCGGACGACAGATTTAGCTCTGCGTTTGAAATATTTCGTACCGATTACAAACTGCGGTTGTAAAAAATTAAATATTAACCGATTTACTTACTGTGCGGGTCTCGGCACGGCGGCAACGATGAGAATCCAGTGGTGACGGCCGGCGACGCACGTGAACGACAATATTTCTCGTAAATTATTACCGAAACCAGTCGCTAAAAAATGATAACAAAACGACGAAAACGACAACGCGAACGACGAATACGCAACACACGTAACGCACGGAACACGGACGGCCGATACACTGCATTCCGATCGGAAGTGAACTGACGGCGCGGCAGTACGCACGCACGTAAACACTGCCGACTGGCGCGCCCGTGTGCGACGGCGGTGACGAAGAGTGGCGGGGGCGACGGCGGCGCGCACAGGCTCACACGGTCGTCGTCGAGCGTGGAGTACCTCCGTCCGCGGGCCGGTCGGCTGTGCAAGAGCGGGGTGATCGACTCAGTGGTGCCAACGGCCCGCCGCAAAACATCGGGACCGGCGCGCGGTTATTACCGTGACCGAACGATTGACGGGACCGCACAATTTTTCTTTCCGCTTACCGACCCCTTTCCGCGCCGCTATTATTTCACCTTGGCTCGCACGTCACTTCACCGCCGACCTTTCGATATAGCGCCGGACGTACCTATTGGCAGATACATATTTTACACGTTCCAACGTGTAAATACGCGTACTTTGGACGAGTGCGACTTTTCATCGAGTAATCGGTATCACCGGGCTAATGCTGTGACGACGAATGCGACAACGATGAGTCCACTATCCATCAATGCGTTCATCACGGGTAGGTACAATGTATGTAATATTAATAGTGGACCCAGGAACCGCCCCTGAAGACGTACGCATAAAAAAAATGTTGAGGGATATTTTTATAAATTAAAACTATTATTTATCAACTGTTATTAGTGTTAAATATTATACATTCTGCTTTAGCCGGTATAACAGGCCGGTATAATCTAACGTCAGGCGATTGAATTAATTTTTATTTATATGTACGTTTTAAGTTATTTATATCCAATTTATTTTATATTTTCCTACTTATTGATTATGCCATTTTTATTATTTACCTATTGGGATACCGAATATTTTTTATTCGTAATACAAGTATTTTATTGTACTCATTTATAAGAACTTTAAATTTCTATTTTTAGCAATAATAATCTAAACTAAATTAATGTTATGTATTGTATTTAAAAACGGTAAACCGCGTTAATTACTTAGTGCCTTGGGTATTTATTGCAATCTCTCATGCAGTTAGCCTGTGTTTCTGTTCGCCAGCACCTAAATGATAATAAGGTACTTGCCGATGAAATTGTGATCTTAACCACGCGGAGCAGGTTAAAGTCTTATGGAAACACAAGTTTGATATAGGTGATACCATGGGTAGGCTACTGTTTTGTGTGGCCATTTTTGAAACTTATAAATTTAATGATGTCCGATGAAATAGCGCTCGAACTCACAGGATAGATGTAAAACTCATGAAAATATCTTGTTTCCATGTTTCGCGATATGGGTAGGCTATTGTTATAGGTTGAAAGTTGGGAATGACATAGTATTTTATATTATGTTTATTGGTTCTTATCTATATGCCTACATACATACAAGTTTTCGTTTATACAATTAGTTTTCTAACGGCTGTGAAAATTAATATCTTCGATTATTGATTAATAAAAACCACTACGAATATAAATTATTTACATTAAAATTATTATATAGGTACTTATAGCTTTTAATTATATTACAATAAATATATAACATATTCAGTATTCCAATAAATAATAAAAATGGTATATTCAATAAGTAAGGAAATATAAAATAAATCGTATATAAATAATTTAAAACGTACATATGAGTGCAAATTAATTCAATTTGACTCTCTGTAGTCACATTCGCCTGACATCAGATTTGCCTATGTATCACACAAACCTAATGTGATATTATACATATTTGTCCATTTAAGCATAAAATAACATTAAAATGGAATAACTGTACAAAAAAAAATCAAACACTTCGGGGGGACGTGGGAGGGTGTTTGAACATTCACAACACCCCCCCGCGTAAGTTCTTGAGTGGATCAGTTTAGAAATTTTAAAATAATTAACAACAGAATGGTATTGAAAATACGTTCCGATAAAATATTTGCTGATAAAATAAATATAGTATTGTTAAAATATTTTTTCTCACCAACTAATATGTTTTGAAGAAACATTAATCGTGAAAAATTAAAGTTCTAGTAAAATGCGTTTCCTCCATTGACCGTAATATAATAATAGACAGTGCTAGGAAATTTTTTGTTTTTTAAAAAGGATTTTGTTCCCGTCCCTCGTTCCTTTAAACGTACCTTTTTTGTTTTTATGAATACCTAATGAAGTCAAAAATAATTTTCTTTTATTACTAATTAAAAATTATCAATAACTAATTTGCTTTGGAAATATAATATATATATTAAGTGATATTAAAGGTTTTCATGAGTTAGTTACTGGGCTAAATACCTATTTTCCATTTAAAAAAAGTATGGTGTAAGTTTATCAAATCAACTAAAATTGAAATATTAATTAATAGTATGTAATATTAATATTGTAATAATAAAGTTATAAGTACTGACACGTAAACAACAGATCAAAGAAACACGCAGACGGGGTTAGACAATGTCATTGACAATTATCATAGTCGTCAGACTTATAAAAATATACCCAATCGTCATCACTGCGATTTACGTATTTGTGATTCACGTTTTTTGCCGGTTTTCCCATTTACTAGGAAAACTCATGGGATAATCAAAAATTACCTGCTTAAATTATCAGCCAAGTCAGATTTCCTTTCAGAAAAAGTGCTCTTATTGTAAATCGGAGCAAAATTTCCGTTTATATATAATTAATGTAAAAAAAAAAAAAATGTATGAGTCATTTAAATATTCAGAAATTTGTAGTGTATGCCGATTATCTACACTATAATATTATCATTCACTCGATACTAAATGTTTTATACAGTACCTATACTAGGAACAAAAGTTTTCGTTGTTTGACCTGTAATATGTATAAAACATGATTTTATTCGATATTATAATATGCACTACACGCGTTACTTAATCTATTTTTGTAAAACGTGGCGGACAAAATCAAATCACGGACGACGTCGGGTAACATATAATATTATACTATTACAAGTAGGTCGCCTAATTTTGATTATTAATAATATTTATTTTTTAGGGCGTAAATTGTGTAATTGTATTTTAGTGGAGTGTATATATGTTACGGACAGTGGTATCATCATTTTATGAGGAGGAGGGGGTCATTTTTTGATTTTCCCAGGAATTTTCCCAATAAATGGGAAAAACATGGAAAAACCGGGAAAATAAGTAAAATATTAAACAAATATTATTAAAGAGAATATATAATACACATGTAATTATTTTAATTGTTTAACTATTTATTTAATTTGTATGATACAATGATACATGTATTATTGGCAAAGCAACACTATTAACTGATCTCTGTTCAAAATCGCTTTTTTTTTTAATAGTAATGGATAATCGTTACATACAGATATATATTAAATTTTCCCTCTACTACCATCCAAACTTCTTATTTACAACAGTGATCTACCTACGTGCGAAGTATGTCCGTTTTTTTTTTTTCGATTTTACAAAAATCGAATGGTTAGGTTTTCTAATAGCTGATTACCGTATTATAACAGACTAAATAAATGCATTTGTTTAGTGTTCAACATAATATTATTTAAATATGGAATCACAGGTATAATACCTACCTAGGTATAATATACTATAATAATTAATAATATATTTGTGTGAAGTATTTGAAAAACAAAATAAATAAATCTCTTTCGTTTTCTAAATATTACCGACGGTGGCGCAAACTTATATCAAATGTAAGATAACAAACATTTATTTAAACTACCCACCCATTTATATTGATTAAAGACTCCACGCCTATGTTATTATTATTAACTCTCCTTCTAACGCTTTAAAGTCCCTTTGCAAAAACATTGAACTTGGCCTTTTATTTTACCTCGATTACTTTACACTACCACACGGGCCACACAGCTAAACCAACTCAAATAGCTACACGCTAAACACCTATTAAAAAACAATTAATCTTAGCATAGACACAAATAGCGTTTGAGATTTGTACTATTTATTAATTTAGATTTTAGATATATTATGTCTTTATAAATATATATTCAGTTATATATCAGTTCAATTAATGTAAAAAAAAAGTAACAAAATAACAAGTTTGACATTTTTGAGAGAGGTAATCCCCCAAAGTCTCCCATATTCGTGATTATATTCGTCAGACTTATAAAAATATACGTCATCTCTCACGTCATCACTGCGATTTACGTATTTACGAGTTTTGAATGTTTTAATATAGATAACTAAACAGTCTAAACAAATTTTATAATATAAGTAAATATTATAATCGTATATACAGGTTGATTCAAAATGTATGAAACAGCCATTTTAACATGTAAATATTCAAAATAAAGAAAAATGTATAGCATAAAATTTTGTATTCCAATAATATACCCCCCCTCCAGAGAAAAAAATGTACAAATTATTTTAGATGTTTATAATCGAAAAACTTTTATACTATACATTTTTCTTTATTTTGAATACTTACATGATAAAATAACTGTACCATTTTGAATCATATTATATGAGTGTTTAAATTTGTAAACGGATTTTAAGTGAATTTGATTTCTGTTTTTTTTTAATCATTCCATAATGATTTGATGATTGGTTAAGCTTTATTTTAGAATCATTTTTAATTTTTTACCCCTACACAATATACCTTAAATAAGTATATACGTTTTTTTTTCAAATAGGACCCCCTCTTTTTCAACACAGATTTGAATAAAGAATATTCTTCTAGACATTTTGATATGCATGACACTTATATCAGATTTATTATTTATGAGTTATAAGTTATAACCGTTTAAAGTTTATACTAGAGTAGAAAAGAATAAGATTGGGGTAGATTGCCTATCTATTTTTAAATGATAAATTGATAACTTTTCTCTACTCTACCGATCTAAACTTTAAACAGTTATAACTTATAAACGGTAAATCTGATAAAAGTGTTATGCATATCAACATTTCTAGAAAAATATTCCCTATTTAAATCTGTATTTAAAGAAAGGGATTCCTATTTGAAAAACAAAAGTATATACTTACTTAAGGTATATGGTGTAGAGGTAAAAATTAAAAGTGGTTCTAAAATAAAGCTTAACCAATTCCATAATGATTAAAAAATACATAAATCAAGTTCACTTAAAATCCTCTGAGGAAATTGCTAGTTCGTGATAAAAAAATATCAACCTGTATGTATATAGTTTATGTTTTATTATATTTCAACCGTTAATTACATTGTACGCGTATATATACAAAAATAATTTTAATTATAGATGTGTTGGTACCAAACACTACGATTCGTTAATTTATCGATGCAAATGTGTACTTAACAGTTCCTGGAATGAACACTAAACAAACTATATTTTATATTCCTGATTATCATATTGACAGAATCATTATAATAACATACCAGCTAAAGGAGTGGTGAACCTTTTTCTTGGTCGAGTGCCAACATTTTGTAATTTAGGTTTTACCTTTTTTTTTCATCTCTTTTTTTAGCATTCCAATATATATAAGTATATACAGTATACATATTCCAGTGTTATAGTCAGTGGTGGCTAGGTCGTTCATATCCTCATGAAAATTAGAAAAAAAGAAGACCGTAATATATTTTAACTAATACCTACATTTCTTATATTTTCCCTTTTTTTTTTTGATTTTTCAAATTTGATTAAAACACTCCTGAGAAAATCAAAAAATGACCTTTCTTAAATACCTCCCTAGTGAAATTTCCATTTAGAAATATTGCTATCTTTAAAATTGGAGCAAAATTGTTGATAGAAAAGTTGTCCACAGAAAAAAAAATCGTAATTTATATTTATCTTGTTATTGTTCGGTTTTTCGCATTTGATGCGAAAAATGACCTCCCTTAAGTACACCCCATGTCGATTTTATTTCAGATAAGGTGCTACACTAAGAAATTCGATCAATTTTCCTGGTAGAAAATTGCGCACAGATAAATAAAAAAAAGTAAACATCTTTGGAAAACCATAAGCTTTTTCGCTCTACTCAGAATCTAAAATAAAATTATCTTTTAAAATCTGTTATACTACTTAATTATTTACTAGATAGGTTAGAAATTGAAAATTTTTGTCACGACCCAATATTTTTAGAAACTCAGGTTAAATATTATTGGAAATTATATAATATAGGTTACAATAATAGACCCATTATCGTCTTTCCATTACGACATCATCTTACAACCAAATTGTGTATGGTGTGGGAATTTAGCGGCGCTTTTTTCGAAATATATATGAAATAAATCAGATTCCATTAATTATAGGACCTTTTCAATAAGATTCGTCCAAGTTCAGGTACATACCTCTAAAAACAATTTTGGAAGTTGCAAATTTTTTATGTTAGTTGTTAAAAGTTGATAAAAGGTATCTAAATATTGGCACAGTTTTGTAATTTTGATCATTTAATTTATTATCTATATTTAATGGGTGTGATGCAATATAAAATAGAAAAAATGATAAATGATGTTTTTTAATTGAAAATTTAAATTTATATACGAAAAATATTAAACTTTTGGTCCGTGGATCATGTTTTTTTTTTTAACTAATTATTTATTATAGGATTTCGTTTTGTTTTTTAGACTTATTTTAACATCTATAATATCATATTATTTTATAATATACGAGTTTTCAATAATATAATACACGTAATATGAATAAATATTATAACAACGAATGAATCACAATAATTTAATAATTTACATTTAATTTTTTTGTTTTTTTTTTTTTTTTATTGTAGAATAAATAAAAAATACCAAATATTGTATGTTGATAATAATCCACGGAAATTATTCTAAATACAATATGTTTTTAATTTTGATTACGCTAAAACCGTTTAAAGAAAAATATTATCTGACCGTTGACAATATTTGATAATAATATTATTATCTTGTGACTCTTCACAATGTAATGCATAGCAATAATATAATATTATTATATTCTCATACAACATTACCAGAGAATAATTAGAATAATAGAATAATATTTTGAATATTATAATATTAAATTCGTTTATCGCGATTTTATATTTGTATGAGAAAAATAAAATATTATTTTGTCAGACCATTTAAATAATAATAATCTGAATCATTATTTTTTTTTCTCCCATTTCGAATCTCGAGTGTTATAAAGAAAAAAAAAATCAACAATACGTACTATAGTAAAAGTGCCTCCAACAGAAATGCTGTTTACATTCGCTTTCCATTTGATGATTGTGACGTATATATTCATGAATTAAAATGCATCTCTAGGAAATGGCGTAGGGTACATGCAGTGAGTCAGAGCGGTATAATAATATTTTCAAATAGAAATCTACGTAACATTGATAGAAATATTTAATTATATATTATAATAATAATTATTTCACAGCAATGATCATGGTGCTATCAAAAAAAAAGTCAAAAATATAAGGGTCAACAGAATTATAAAATCTGAAAAAATTCCAAATCGTATTTTCGATTTTATATAGTCGATAAATATTTTATTCGAAAAACAATTTGCCCTAGACTGTGGTTCGCGCTTTAGCCAGAAATATACTTTTTTTTTTGGAAAATACATTTTTCTTTAGTTATAATTTTTAACATTCGACAAGTAAACAAAAAAAAAAAAAATAATTTCTACACATTAATCATATTATGTGTTTTATTAATGAATAAGACTCGGTTGTGTAAAATGCAATTCAGACAAATTAAATATTGTTTCCGGAAAAATATATAATTTAATAAATTGTGATGTCGGCTAAAATGCTGTTCGGTTTAAATTAAAAAAAAGAGCAGATACTGGGAACGGGTGCGGCCACCGTGAATAGTTGAGAAGGTTGGGAATTTATAACTGTAACCAAAAGTAAACGATTTCTAACGGAAAACGATTCGAAACGAAGTTCGTTTGAACATTTTTTTAAAAGGCCGTTATTTATATTTGTATTTAATATTTATGATTTTCGACAAAATTTGATTTTAAAACTCTTATAAAAAAAAAATAATAATAATAATTTATTATTTTGTTTTTTAATCACAGTACTTACAACTTATAATGAACACCCTGTCAAATTTTCAAGCATTCATTTCTGCTTTCAATTATTAAACAAACTATAAAGAAAAACAAAAAACGATTTACTTTCTCACAATTTAGATTAAAAATACAACAAAGGTCTGTAGTTGTTTTTCTATTGGATCAAAATTTATGGTAGAAAACGTAAGCTGTACAAATTAAGAACTAATTTAATCACTGTAATTACTATGATGAATAAACTCCTCCCCATATTAATTTCCTGTCTACGGCACTATTTACGTACATGATAAAATAACATAAACACGATACGACCACTCTTCCCTATGCGTATGCCCTTGTATAATTGAGTACAACATATTATTATGTTAGCAAATTATCTACAAGTATGTAATATAAAGTCAATAAATTATGTTTCTAAATAATTATTGAACGTCTATTAAATTGTATCGCAAATTGTAATACAATATTATAATATTACTGTCATTGTACATTTAACATTACATTAAATCACAAATTTTGAAATAAGTACATTTGTTTAGTAATTTTCTACCGGTAATACGACGGGTGCGATAATAACGTTCACGCATTACTGGGCTCGTCTCGCTGCTGGCCACGGTACGTGTGTCCGTGCCAGTTAGCCGATTGCCAATCCCTTTAGTTTTTTCGTCCGATAACTTATCATACCGCCACGAATTTTTCGTTACCGACACAATCCTCTACCGACTTATTTTGACCGTCTTGTTCCACCGGGTTTTTTACCGTGCTCTTTGGGTATGCTAAATGTATCGGCACCAACCACACTCTCATCGTACTCGTCAATCTCAAAAGTACTCCGCTACCACCGAAACCGTCCATCAAGACCACCGTTAAACGCCACCTACCGATCGCACCAGCAGGGCGTAATGAATCTCATTGTTTTACATGTCGTTAGACATTTGTGTAAAATTATGTTCGCTAATTTCCCTCCCACCTCCCCTCCATCCCGCGTTTATTTTTCCCGTAATTTTTTGTAACTGGCCAGTAGATTTTCTATACTTATTAGTTTTAAGTTTTGCCAGAAATAGAATTAAGCTGCCTACCATATTTACCGAGTTACCATTACTTTATTAAAATAAACACGATTTACGTGATCAATTCAAAAAGGCAGCAAAGCATTAATGTATCTATTTGTTTACCATGTTATGAAAACAACAATATTTTAAATAAATTAATAAATTAAGAAGTGTCTCTAAATAGGTATGAAATAAAAAAATATTCTTAATAGATAGTTTCAATATATTATATTATTGTACTTAAACTTATGTGTGTGGATCTTATAAATAATAAAATAAACTAGATTTGAACACATATATTATATTTATCTATTTACTTTTATGGAAGTAGAAATTATTATTTCTGTAAATAAACATTATATCAAATACCTAGTATATTCAGCGCCGCGGTATAATAATTTAACTTAGCTTGGCGGCTACTCATAGTATGTATCGGAAAAGTAATTAATTGCCTGTATATAACCTTTCCCTACTCTTCCGGTCTAAACTTTAAAACTGTTATAACTCATAAACGGTAAATCTGATACTTACGTTAAGCATATTAAAATTTCTAGAAAAATATTTTCTATTCAAATACGTGTTCGAAAAGGGAGGTTCCTATTTGAAAATTAAAACTATGTACTTATTTAAGGTGTATTTTTACATTGTTTTACTTTATTATGGAATCGGGGTAAAAAATAAAAAATGGTTTTAATATAAAGCTTAAAAGATTCCATAATAATTAGAAAAAACAGAAATCAAATTCATTTAAAATCCTCTGAGATAATTGCTTGTTCATGATAAAAAGAAATCACCCTGTATATATACCATATAGTTAGTATGGTAATATTTTATTGTCGTATTATGATATATATTTTATCATATATAGTGCTAATATACATCAATTTTTTTATGTGTGTACTTATTATCTATCACGAGCAATTATTAGTTAAATTATTAAACCAAATATATAAGTATATTTTTTATTAAAGCTAAGAAGGAAAAAGGATAACTACAGGTAAAATCGAGTACGGGGCGGAATAGATAGGTTTTTTTAGACTACCTGTACTGACGGAGTTGATTCTAGGAAATTAATGGCGCAAATAGGATTAGAGAATACAGCGACATATTTAGACGTACTATAATTTCTTCAAATTTATTTATTTATTTTTTTTTTTTTATCAAATTTAAGATGTTATGTTATTAATGTTGTTAAACGTGATACTTTCGTATACTAAATAATAATATTGTTTTTCAAATTAAATGTGTAGTTTCTATATGGATTTTACTTTTCACCATAACATTGTATAGAGAAAGCTATTCACTGTAAACCAATACGCCTCGAGTGCACATTTATTTTAAACTAATTTTGTTAATATATCTTAAACCCAACTTTAACGCTTTTCTCGAGTGACTTCAGTGAATATATAAAATATATCTCCTAGTTAATTGTTTCCCTGGCTTATTGTTTCTCGGACGCGAATTTCTATACATCTTATTCACGTGTATTATTTTAATCTACTGCACAGAACACTATATTCCAATAAAGTTTTCTCCAAAAACATTTTATTCGAAACTATTTGTATTATTTAACTTGAAGAGACTAGGTACCTATACAAATGAAATATAAAAGAGCGGCCAACTTGATGAAACATTTAATACATTGCAAGTTTTAGAATGCAAAATTCGTTTCAGAAATGATGCCGCGCGTACATATCGGAGCAAAATTTCTGGTAAAATTTTTGTATACAGTATAAAAAAAAAAAATAATAATAATAAACATCTTAGTAAAACCAATACATTCTTCGCTACACTCAGAATCTAAAATGAATCATTTTAGATTATTAGATACGTATTATACTATAATGATTTTAACACTCAATATTTTGAAATATTATAAAGTAGATAGGTACACGTTTTATTCAAAAATATTTTCAAAATATTTTTTTCAAAGATTTCGAGCTAGCGAAATACATTTCTGCATGTCCAATTAATAATCATTATGTAAAATATACTAGCTACAATATTCATAGTTTTCCGGCACACAATTATATCAGTACCACAAAGTCATTTGTTCTATAACCATGACTTCATCTCAATTCACGTTCCCGCTGCAGTTTTTGATTTCTAAGCGCATTTATCAAAATGCGATGTTATATAAACGTGAAACGTCACTTGCAATAGCATCCACACATAATATGTATATCTAAAGTTATGTAGATAACTTCTATTCCTCACGATAGTAATAATCGTAGATAAAATCTGACGGAAACTTAAATAGAAAAAAAATAGAAATTCAGTAGTGCTGTTAGGTTTCACCTCGAACCATAAGGGTAACAAAAAATACGAGTAATGTAGTAACATTATTTTTAGAGTTACTTATTTCTTAACGACTAAACACAAATCGGTTAAAATCGTCAGATCATTTATGAATCGACGAGTGTACTTTCAATATGAATACTGCTTATTATGTTATACAATTATGACTACTGTAAATAATTACGAAATTAAAAATAAACCTCAAAAACTGTATTGCAGGTAAAAAGATAAAATGTACTATGAATGTACTTAATTGTAAAATATATAATACCGCTTTAATACGAATTTAAACCGTATACACAATATTATTTTATTTACTACGATTAATTATTATAGTTTGAGTTTTATTAATTATTCAATTTTACTTGTTAAGTTATATTATTAAAATTTAAAACACGTAAAGCCAGATTCATTAGATTAGTTTATTATATAGTATTATATAATAGTTATGGCTGTTGTTTATTAACTAAGAGTGCTTACAGGATCACATTAAATGTGCAGCCATTTGTTCACTTCATTTTAATTCGCTCGCCTAACGACTTCAATATTTACATTTACAGTTAATTTCGATTCAACAAAATATATATATGGTACGTATTGTTATTCATACTGTATCGAACAAAACAATGACAAAGTTTACCGACATTTTATTATTGGCTATACATTTGAACTGTTGGTATCAGATCTGATATTTTTAATCACAAAATAAAACTTACAATGAACTTAATGTTAAATTCTCGAGCATTTTTGATGGACCAAACAAATATTATTCACATAAAACACAATGGAAAACTAAAAACACTCAAAAAGGCCATCTGGCTATAAATAGCTCAACAATCACCACTCGCCAGATTATATTGAAAACTGTACCACGTCAAAAAAGTATTAATGTATTTGATGAAAGTTCCAGCTAGGTTTCTACGATTATTTTTAACTGAATTAAAAAAAAGCAAAACAAAATAAAATAGAACTAAAGAAACCGTTATTGCATACATTTCCCCCCTTTCCGACAGTTTTTCAAATTACTAAAAAAAACTACAAGGAAAATAAGGAGGTCATTTTAATTTTATAAAATATATTTATATTATTAATCGGAGCAAGATTTCTGGTAGAAAAATTGTTATAAACCAATATTAGCTTTTCTTGTACATTTGAAATAATGAGCGTAATTTTATTTCACTCTTGCACTTTGGAGAATAAAATATCTCAAATACGCTACGGTGATTTTTATTAATGCACCTATATATTATTATGAATATATGTAGATACACTCGCAGTAGTAGTCTTGAAGCAAAATAATATTTGAGAAAAATATGCTATTGTCAACAAAAAGAATAAAAATCTGTTTGTGTACATAAAAAAAAAAAATATATTAATAAAGAAACAGAAATCTTTAGAGTGAAAAAGGAAAAGCACATTAAAATTCAAACGTGCCTCACAATTAATAATACAGACCTATTGTTTTCCCTCATTGTCTTTTGATCCCTTAATGGAAAATGGGTAAAAAGAAATATGACGGAAAAATTTAGAAAAATAATGGTACCCTTTTAACTGAATAGTTATTATAAAAATTAATTTTAAAATTCACTTCACTGATAAAATTATTTTAGTAAAAACAAACAATAAATCGAATTCTATTCTTTTAATTGTATTTAATTATGATTATATACCTATTTATTATTTACAAAAAATTATTTAATCAACAGATAGTTTTATATTTTTGAACTCTGAACGAAGCGAAGAACGTATTAGTTTTACTAAGATGCGTACTTTGTTTTTCATTTTATTATAGTATAATAAATTACCTCTTTTAGAATTTAAGTGTAACGAAGAATTTTTTGATTTTTCGTGCAGTTAAAACCATATGGTTTTATAATGATGTTATTTTTTTTCTGTGTGTAATTTTACGTAATTTTATTCGGTAGGTAGACACTCTGTGAATAAAATTGTTTGACCATACAGGAATGCTTGACAATTTATCAATAGGTTAATTATAAGTTAGATATAATTAGTGTTCTAAAAAAAAAAGTTGAGTTTAATAAAGTATTTTTTTTATAAGAGTTTTAATATCAAATTTTACGAAAATCGTTAATATTATCTTTTAAAACATACTTATACAACCGAACTTCGCTCCGAATCGTTTATCGCAAGTAATGGTTTATCGTTGCATACAGATATAATTCAAATATTTTTATTTATCCTACCTTCCCAACTTCCATCTTCTTTCCATCAACGATAGTGGCACACCCGTCTCAGTATTAGTTTTTTTTTTAAATATTATTTAAACTAAATAAGTATAATATACACAACCTAATTTTAAATTATTAGCACTAATATTCAAGGCGTTAAACAAGTTTTGGTTTTGAGCCAAATAATCTTACACGTATAATAAGTATATTTGTTTACGATGAATTTCTTATATATCGGTTCACTTTAAAAACATACGGTTCTTGTGCAAAACAAATCGACGTGACTATAATATTATAATACTACAATACTTCGATTATATTTCTGATAAATATTTCGTTGTAATTTTTTTAAAATTTAATAAATTGAAAAAGCAGAGGTTCCCAAACTTTTTTTGGTACGACCCATTTTGGAAATAATTTAAATTTTAGCGACCCACAATAATATGAATGACTTTTTTTTTGGTTTTTCTTCATTTCTGGGTGATTCATGGAATTTGCTCAGTCGCATACTCTCATTTGGAAGAATAGATCCAAGATCCAGATAGATTCAGATTTGCTAGAAGAAAATTTGTTCACCAGAAAAAAAAAGCCATAATATTTTTTTAGTCAATAACTACATTTCGTACATTTTCCCGTTTTTCCGATTTACTGGGAAAAATTCTTAAGAAAATCAAAAAATGACCTTTCTAAAGGACCCCCCCCCCAATCAGATTTCCTTTCAGAAAGAGTACTACAAAGTGCTTGTAAATCGGAGCAAAATTTCTGGTAGAAAAGTTGTCCACAGATAGAAAAAAAAAAAAACATCATTGTAAAACCAATACATTCATTGCTCCACTCAGAATCTAAAAATGTATTATTTAAAAATATAACGCGATCCACTAAAAATATGATCACGACCCACTTTTGGGTCGCGACCAACACTTTGGGATCCCCTGTAACAGAATATTAGTTTAAATAAATTTTATTACTGAAATGTTTGTTTTCCACCAAACTCTTTAACGAGAAATAATCTATTTTTAAGTTTAGGTAGGGGGAGAATATTATACTCAGATTCCTGAAAATGTTTCTCAGTTTTTCTAGCAAATATTCTTAAATTTAATCATATATTAAATAAAACGATACTAGTGAACTTAATATAGTAAACGGAATGACCATATTATGAGTAAATCGTTATTTTAAGTAAGTATTCATTTTTTTTTTTTTCATTATTGGTTCAACTATCGACAATTAACATTTTATTATATACGATTATTATAAAGTTTATATAATTATTTCTATTACTTATATTTCGAACGTGATCGAATTTCAATTTACATTTGGTATAGTAGGAATTTATGAGACTAGGCCACTGGCCAGCATTTTAACTATTAATTATAACTATTTTATTACACTATGTCGGAGTTCTGATCATATCTATATATTTAGCTATGATACAACTACAGTAGGTAAGTAAATTTATTCACTATAATTATTTAGTTTTCATTTTTGTGATTGTAAAAAACAAATATGCAAATACTATAAGTTCTCTACCCTAGATATAACGAGAAATGAAGTATAAAGAATATAAAACAAAGCGCATACCAGACTAATTTTAAACCATTTCAAATTTTCATTAAAATATTTTTCCTAGTTTTGTTGATTATTGATTATCTTTCAACTATAGCAATAAAAGCTTTATCTCAAATAATCGGACGCAATATTATCAGTAATTTTATTAATAGTAATTAATAATATTATTTATTAATTCATTATTAAAGATAATCCATTTAGTCCCTCTCTTGTTTTTGCGATAAATTTATTGTAAAGTAACATGTAACATTTTTTGTATATTTTGTTTAGTTATTCTAAAAAAAACATATACGTTTTTATTTTTATTAAGTTTATTTATTTAACACTAAACATTTATATTAAAATATTTAAAAAAGATGATAATATATATTATTTGATTTATCCAGATTCACATTGTGTATTAGTATTTTGTGTTTACTTATAATAATAATAATTATTCTGATATAATTACTACTTACTACTAAATGACAGATTAGACACAGAAGAAAATTATTATTAATATTTTCAATCACAATTATAATTCAATATTCATGATAAATAATGATATAAATTGTTTTGAAATTTTTATTTACAATTCTTACTTGTAGAATTTTAAGAAGGAAAAATTTTTTTGACGTTTTTATGCGTTTTAATGTTGGCAATAAATGGCGTTTATCATATGTTGATTTGGAGGTAATTCATTTTACAAATCTGACGACACTGCGTTAGCCAGACATTGAGACTGGTGAGGGTAGGACTGTATGGATTTTCGTATATTGGTATAGAAAAGAAGGTACTTAAGGAGAAATTGATTTTAATGAAATTAAGTATCATACAACACATTTATTGATAAGAGAAATCGGATCTAAAAGTCTCATCTAGTAAGTTTTAAATACTCCTAATGTTAATTTACATAGCAATTGACACTTAGTGATTCATAAAAGAAATTTTGCTATGATAATGAATTTATTTAGACATGTAAATATTAGCTATATTGAATATAAATCGGCTACATTATTTTGAAAAATTTGTGGACTTGAAGATGAAATACCCTGGGAGAGGAATTTTAAGCTAATTACCTTAGTGGTTATAAACACGATACTAGATAACACAATATAACTAACTTCTATTATTAATCAGTTTTTAACTTTTAAAAAATATATCTGTCGTCTTTATTGACCATGTGTACTTATTTGTCATTCAAACAATAACGATTTTTGTTTTAATTTTTATATTTATAAATTAACTTGTAATTTGTAATTTATTTTATATAATCATTTGTACATACTTAATAATTTCACTTGTTTTATATATTGTAGGTAATATAAAGAATCGGGAAATAATGGACTTATTATTACCGAAAAAAAAATACGGGAAATGTATGCACTGCAGTAAGATATACCAAAATACAACAGAACTGGATACATAATTACAATTTCACCCAACAGATATGATCGTGCAAAGTTTAGAGGATAAATCTACCCCGCAGTGTAAAATATGCCAACGCTATTATTTTACAGCTGATAAATGTAAAACGCTATGAGCTTCTAATAGCCAAAAGAGGTTTCAGAAGGAGAGCGCTAAGAGCGGAAGTTGCTTTCAATTCCGTGGGACACACCTATCAAAAGATCTTTTTATTGCCGAGAATGCAACACAATTTGTAAAAAAATGTTACACTTAGTAATTAACAGATTAGATGGAATCGTGGATTATTTTGATTAATTATTGGTCCAGTAATTTTTGAATATTACAAATATTACAATAATTTTAACTACTGTATGACATTTTTTTTATTATTAATATTTAAATACAATCTAAAATTGTATAATATATCGAAGGATTATTTTGAAGTATCAACTAGGTACCTATGAAATAAAAACATGTATGTTTTATATTTATTTGTATATATGTGTTCTTAATTTAGTGGCTGTGTCACTTTTTGGGCAATTTTTATTTTCTATAAAACATATTCAATGTTTAACAGTCTAATGATTTAATATTAAATTCAGTGAATTTTTTTCAAGAATATTTAATGATTGAAATGTACCAGGTTTTGTGTTGTCCAATATTTCAAATATAGTTATTTAAACAATAATTTGTTTATACTTTCATGATATTCCCCAACAGAGGAATTATAGATTATTTTGAATTGTTATTGGTCCAGTAGTTTTTGAATATTACTTTATTAGCCTATATGACATTGTATTTATTATTATTGTTTCAATACAATTTAAAATTGTAAAATATATTAAAGTATTTTTTTCAAGTATTAAGTATTTTATAGATAAACAAAATATAAATGAATGTAAAAAGCAACAGAAAAGTTGTCTAGGAATTTGTTACATGCAAGATTTTTGATAGAATACCACATAATGATATTTAATATAATATTTTTCCTTTTAAAATTATTTTTTTTCTCTAGTTTCCCCAACTATTTTTACAGCTCTTTGGAAAATAAAAGAAATTATCACTCCCAGTGCATCAAATAGATTTCAGAAGCAATCAAAAAAGTTAATTTGTATTTTCTGATTGAAACAAGTTTTATGTTTAAAATGTTGATCAATTAAAATAAATAAAATTAAAAATCTAAATCACAGTAAAATCAATAGATTCTTCACTAAGCTCTGAATACACAGATCGTCTTTAATAATTATAGTAGCAATTAAATTTAAACAAATCACCATTAACTATTTTAAATATTAAAAACTGAGAAAAATATGAAATTTAAAATATCAAATCCGTTAAAAGAATACAACTTAATCGAACATGAATGTTTATTATCAACTCAAATCAATTATAAACATAATAATATTAACTATTAATACTTTACTATGCATAACCGACTATTCACCGTTACCTATATTGTAGGAATACGTACCTTTTTTGACGGAGTAGGAACTTACATATATCATTTTTGTAGAAATACCCATTAAATAACGGTATGTAAATTTTTACCGGCTACTCTCGTGTTGGAACTTAATATTCCCCAACGGAACATTTTTTCAGGTCACAATATAATTACAATAAATCAGGTGTGTGCGGACACCGAACAATGTTTAGCGTTTTAATATCGCCTCAGATTTGACCTGACGTGGACTCGTACACGGCGGCGAAACTAAACATATTACCTAAATGGTACATATGGCTGTATAATGGCTAAATAAAAACACTTTGGACACGTTTTTAGAACACAGACAAACACTAACCTATACGAATTATATAGAATAAACGAATATATACAATATATCTGTAAAATGATAAACGACAGAACCATTATCAGCTGCTGCCTCCTGAATTCAGTGTTTTGAGAAATGCGTATAGGTAAATGCGTAGTAAGTGTGTTTACGTTTTTCCAATGTCATATTCTTTTGTATGTACACGCCATTTTATATTACGTGTGTTTTCTCGAGAATAACATGATCTGACAACCGCACAAATGCCTCTAAGGAATGGTGTTACAGTATTAGTGTGAAAAAAGTTTCCGAAAATATAAACGGAATAATATCATATACGAACGAAAAATAACTTCGATTTCTTTCCGATTGTGTCACGCATTACTTTTTATTTGCATAGGTAAAACGATCACGGGCGCCGGGCATCAAATCGCTGGGAAATAATATTATTATGTAAATATTTAACAGACGACATTGGCGGCGTGAGCGTATTTGAACACCGTAAACATTATTTGTTGTGAAATTGGTTCATCTCGAAATGATTACAAAATTCAGCGTAAAACGGCAAGCAGTATTGCGCAAAGATAACTAAAAATGTATCTAAAAGGTAATTAGATATAATTTATCTAGATAGAGATAAAAGATAGTTAAAATCTAAATTATCTAGATAAAGATAAAAGATAAAACATTATTTATATGAATAAATAAAAGATGACATTGTTAAAAATTTAATAATTAATCTACAATTTTTTTGTCAATTTATACTAGGTTTTACAATCTATAATTTCTATTAGAATTACTCCTTAATTTAGTATCTAAATTCTAAAGCCGCGGCTAAATGAAACTGAATACTGTCAAGTGTTAGTCGTTTTTTGACAGTTTGTTAAGAACAAAAACGACATTAGAAAATATCAGTTATAATATAATAGTATAATAATATAGTGTTTTGAATGACTGATGAAACACTGACCGTTGTGAATAGAAATCTCGGCCGGTGGATTCCCGGAACGGTCATGGGCTCACGGCACTGTCACGTCACTGTTGTGTGTAAAATGTAAATAGACCTTTTTTTTCAATTCATTGTTTAATTTTAAAATGCACGATTTGTATTAATTGACATGAAGCGAGGTTCAATTTCAGTTTATTAGAAATCAAACTACCTACATACCCTTAGTTATTTTATAAATAATTAATTATGTAGTTAAGATAAATTAACTAAACAAATTAATTTCAGACTAATTTTCCAAATACATATACCCAAATTTAAATAATGATATAACTACGTTAAATCTGGACACTACTCTGCGTATGCAAAAAAGTCCAACGCCTTTAGGAACATTCTGATTATATGAAAAATAAAATGACATTTGTAAATGATAATAGACTAGTGAATATTGAATTTCTATTATACACAAATTAAATAACTGTTATTATAATACACTAAGGTATTATGGGAATAATAGACATTACTTAATTTTAAAGAAAAAATTGTATTAATTAATTATCTTATACATATACGTTATCTCCTTTCGAAACTATAATATTCATCACATAAGGACACAATGAAACAAATTGTACCAGTTAATATAATGTCAAATAATTATTTTTCTTAAAAATATTCTAAGTACATTTGATATTATAATCGAAATTTAAAATTAATATTCATAATATATTATTATTATAATTACCAATAGTTTAAATACGTCCAATATAATATCATTTATTTGATCCTATATACATATTAATAATAAAATAATAATATACAAGCCTACGATTATATAAATCAAATAATTTTTGCATAAAAAAAAAAGCCTGAGCTCTTGTCCCTGCAATCAGATTTTAAAAGCAGCCAGAAATTTGAAAAATTCCGGTAGCATTTCGCTGTCTTGCCCCGGAGTAAAGGTTCAGTATTTTTCAGTCTTGCCACTCAATTTTGAAAATTTAGGAAATTGGAAGAGAAACTTGAAGAACAAATTAATGCACTGTGCAATTTAAAATGGTTTGATAGAAATTTACAGTCTTACTTGTTTTTTTATGGACGATTCAAAAATGAAATATTGCCTTTTTTTCAGTATTCAAAATTATAAAAAAAAGGACCTGTGCTATTGTCACAGTAATGCAATTATAAAGCAGCCGCAAAATTAATTTCGGAAGAAATGTAAACAAAAAATTCTTAGCACAAATTCAAAACGATCGTGGTTGCGATCGAAAAATGCGTACGTCTGATCGCTAACGCCACCGAGTACCTGGACAATGTGAAATGCCGTAGATACGCCTGCGCGTTGAACAATAAAACGGTTAAAACTCCGAAAGCGGCCGGCGTCACCGGCATCAAGGTGAAGTTTAAACGGCCCGGCGGATGCACCGATGAAAAACAACAGCGTGATACCTCCATGGAAACGCACTCAAACAACGTTTCCCGCCAATTTTGCAGCAGAGAAAACAAAATTTGTTTACTAAGACTCGTACAGTGTCCAGGTGATAGTACGAAGGCGAATCGTATCGATACAAATTGTATTTCCATATACTCGATTATTTCTAAAATAATAAACCGATATAGATTTTTCTGCGTTTATCTCAAGAAATTTAAACGTATAATATTCATAATTGTATGTGTTTAATAATGTTAAATGATTAAATAAATCACGTTAAATCTGACAATCGTGTCAATGATTTTGTTTTACGTCCAATACGTTAATATACGTTTATACTTTACGTGTGAGTACATAATATAGGTTTAGATTAGTGGTTTTATCACTAAGAAAAAGCAAATAGAAACAAGCAGCGACGTAGCAATAGCGGGGGGGGTGTTTTGGTGTTCAAACACCCACTTTTGACTATATTTATGCCAAAAATTTAAATTTAAACTACATGCAATTATGCATTACATTTCTACAAGATGTGTTGTGTAACCTATAGAATATAGATAATTATTAAATATATGTCATATGTATGTGTGTTACACGTGCACAATAAAGTTACAACTAAACACAAAATAAAAACACCCCCTTAGAAAAATACTGGTTACGCCACAGGCAACAAGTTCATTTTACCGGACACCTTTTATTTTTCAATTTTTATAATAATTTAAATAATTTTTCAAAATATTCACATTTGTCAAAACTTCATGCCTATAGAAAAGTTCCAACCACCAAACAGGCAAAAAAAAAAGGGGAATTTAAATAAATAAACACGTGTTTTTTTTTGGGGAAAATATAGAATTATTTTATTAACTTATCAATCAAAAGGTAACAATTAAGTTAATGCAACAGAAAAGTACAGGGGCATAAAAACGATCACTCGAGAAAGAATGGATAATAGGTACGATTCTGACATTGATATATATATATATAGGATGATAAACAAATATCTACAGACAATTTATGTTTTAAATACATGTACATTACATACTGGGGCGTCAACCAGCCTTAAAAGTGTTGTCCGGACGCAGGTAGTGACATAACGGGGAACGTGCAGGCCGGGACTAATTAATATTTATTGGTAGGGATGAATCCACATCCACGTGTGTGTGCTGACCGATATGGGTATTGACCGACACGTGAACCCCCACGTGGAACTGTGGAACTTTCGTGAGTACCTCAGGTATTGGGGAGACCCCCGCAGGAATGTGTGGTTGCCAGGTCACACAAATTACCACCGGGAAGGATAGCGGAAACGCTTTTCATTCTATGTTGACTGGTCCGTAGTTTTGGTGGCCCTACGGATGATATAGATCGTGAAATGGGGAAGATCGATCAATATATATGTATTCCTTTTTTAGATGCTCACACACGTGGTTGTGAAACCCAGCACTTAAAGGGAATAGAAAATAAAAAAAACCAAATGCGGAGGGCTTGGCCTATCGCACATAGGATGCGGAACGCGGGGATTAGTATAATGACACGGACACATAAATCTAGCTGGTTAATCCTCATAAGTATATCGGGAGGATTTGATATACGAAAAAAAAAAAAAAACATTTTAGATAGAAATATTCATGCGGGGTTCATGCAAATATTCATCACCTTAACTGAATTACCTTAAAAACTAACTAACTAACGGAGTATCGGCCAATTATTAAATCACATACATACTACCATTTGTTCCGCGCGACCAAATCGGGACTCACTTCATTGGTTCGTTCGAGGCACCGTCATGAAACGTGCCAAGGTACACGACCTTTTATTGACGGCATAATATGTGAACCCGTGCAATACACGGGAGTGTTTTATTGAGAGAACTGTATCGAAAGACCGTCAGGTGACAAGGTCTAGCTAGATAAGAAGGAATGGAACGAACGAAAAGACAAAAACAAGGTAGTGGAGCGCGAAGACGTTCGTGGCACACGTCGCCGCGGGTCGACGTTTTTTGGCGATAAAAGGAAACGTGATATGTTTGGCCGTTAACCCGTAATCAGAAATACAATATTATTGTGAATTGCAAAAAATTGCGATCGCATAAACCTTTGCGCGGGGTGGGGGGGAATTATTGTGTCATAATGACACAACATATCCGTCGACGCGGGCGTAATCTATTAACCGGTCGACCATATCGATTGTAGGTATGCTTGACCTTTGATAACGGGAAATGGTCGTTTTTGGACGTTACAACTACTACTAACGTTATAATGGTAATAAATATAAATTGGTTGGTAATTAATATTTTTAAACGGTTGTTAAACGTTTGTTATTTGTAATATGTAGTAGACAGAAAAACAATCGAGTCATATAAAATAAAAATAGAAATAGATCTTACCGATATTATATTTAGTTGATTGTTTAGTGCTTGGTCATCATTCTATTTTTGTAGCACGTCGTACGATTTTTAGGGACGATTATTTTAAATATTATTTTATTTGGTTATTAAATTTGAATTCGGAAATTGTTAACATGTCAATTGGACGTTAACAGTTTTATTTAACGTGCAATTTGTAAACGATTATAAATGCATAATATGATGTATAAATACTATAAAATATTAATTTTGTTAATTAATAGAACACCGTCCTCGTATATTTTTTAGAGCCAAAAACGTCTAATTCGAAGTATACAATTTCAAGTGTTTTTATACTCTTAACAGTTTTAATACCATTGTATTCGATCCTTTTTAATCATTTTTTGTGGACACGGATTTGAAAAATTTGTGTAACCATAAACGTAATAATCACTTGCTATAATATCATAATTTTACGGAACCTCTAGCCATTTACTGAAAATAAATATAAATATTTGAATTTTTAAGCTTTTTTTTTTTTTTAACTTTTTCTATTAAGATTGGCCATAAATAATTTGTATATATAACTGGCTAAAATAACGACGACAATATTATAATTATAATTATACGAAAATAATTTACATAGAAAAAAATAAATTTAAAATCAGTATTTTTTATAATAAACGACAACACAACAATGACCACGGGTTTTAACCTCATAGAAAATAACACAGTATCTCATTATATTTTAGAAGTATTCATCGGAGGATATAATTTTACAGGAAATACTCAAACATCAGATAAAATCTCAGACCAATCAAAAGTAAATCATTTTTATTATACTATTTTTATTTACAGAATGTTAAAAATGTTAAATGGTTTGTGTTCTTTAATATCATTTGACTATTTGAATACGTCTTTATACTGTTGTACTCTTGAGTACCTACGTGATTCGTGGTTTTCTTATATGACTAATATAACAGTATTTTGGACATAAGATAATGCAAATCCGTGAGGTTATGTAATTGAATAGTTATCAATTTGTCATAATAGTCATAGGTAATAAAATCTGTTACGCTGTTACGCACTATACGTTTTATGAAGATGTCTGTTTTTTTAGCACTTTTTGCGGTACTTCGACATTGTTTAAAAAATCTATCGAATTTTCCAGCAATCAACCCCATTTTTCAGTGGTGAATATAAGATATTATTCTGGAGTGGGCCCAACATTTTTCATATTAATTTTAAACAAAGAGCAATAACTATAAAATACAGATAAGATTATACAATCAAATATTACCGCATTATCGACTATCGTAATATTCGGTCTAACAGCAATTTGAACAACGATTTATAATTTCTATTAACTCGTATTATTATAACTACAATTATAATTGTCAAGGGGGCCGGGGGGTCTGGACCCTCTCGGCCACCCCTTGAATCCGCCACTGCCGTTGTCGTTCTCAATGATTTATCGTTGCGTAATGCATACAGTATATAAACTAAACTACATTGTGTATCCCGCCATCTCAACTTTCCACCTATAACAGCGTTGTCTACTTGTAAGCAATAATAACTTTTTAATTTATCAATTTCGACTTTACAATTCGCCATACAATTTACAAATAAATACAGTTTGTATGATGTTACACAGATTGTACTATAGGTTTTTAATTTAAAAATGTAATTATATACAAATTAAATATATTATGTATTTTCAATTGCTTTGAAGAATGAAGAAGCGAATTTAAAAACAAAGTATATTATAAAATTAATTTTGGACGGTGTTTTGGACACTGAAATTGCCGGGTATGATAAAGGCGAAGAAGAAAAAGAAGAAGGACATAAAGACGAATGCGCAACTTATTTTAACGATCAACTAGACTTAAATATCGATGAAATAAGTCGACAGTATAATGTCGAGAAACCTGTTTGTAATGCATACACGGTTTGTTATAACATCGCGAACAAAGATAAAAACGATGAATACATGTCTATGCAGCCGACAATGAATAAAGGTGAAACCATAAAGATAACGTTTTACTATTTATAATACAATACAATTTATTAATTCAAACGTGTAAAATTCGTTAAATATTTTTTTATCGAGGGGGAGAGGGAATTCTTCAATCTTCTTTGTCCATACCTACGTCCAAGACATTTGTTTCTGTAGTCATTGGTATATAAATACTAAATGTTCGGACAATTTTTTTTTACATTTATGTTTTGATTTATAATAATAACTCCGTTGGTATAGCAATTTTAATTATGCCAACTAATTTTATACCAAACATGAAACATCTCTAAACCAATATCAAGAGACTAATAAATAAAGTAGGTACTTAATTACTTTTAATGTTTATAGAAACCCAAGCGCGGTCGAATGGTGAGCTTTTCCTAACTTAGTTTTTTTTATAACCTTCAAAAAATTTTCTTCTAAATAATATATATTTATTATTTATTAATGTACCTAAATACAAAGTGTACAGAATTTAAGTTACAACAATAAATTGTGTTCTATACATATAATAAAATAGAGAATAATGTACATGGACACAAGGGGGGGGGAGGAATTTGGGAGTCAACTTTTGAAATTCAAAGGAGAACCTATATTAAAAATTCCAGAGGTAGATTGAGTATTGGTTCAAATAAATTTATGATTTCCGTCAATCCGTTGACGAGATATACCACTTTTTTCATTTTCTTTTAGTCATTATTTAACACATAAGTGAAAGATAAAATTAATATTAAAAAAATAGGTATTAAACTACCCACGGATAAAGCCGAGTAATACAGCTTTACTAGTAAAAATATATAGGTACCATCATAGTCTTTGTTTGTCGTGTTCACGATAAAATGATGAGTGAGTTAAATATATACTGTTGTAAGGGTTGAGCGTATAGCGCAATTACAAATTTTATTCCGGCTAACTCCATAATCTTAATTACCATTTGTTGCAAATGAGTAAATCCGAGACAATAGCTACACTGCTATTGTCACGGGTCCGATTGGAATTTTCATTGATGATTTATAAACATGTGCCTAGAGATTGTACATTGAAATCAGGAAAAAACTCCAAAATATAGGAAAAATAAATTTCATAGCAACATATATTATCGTAATATTAATTACGAATAACCAACTTACCTGCCATTTAAAATTTTAATAATAATAATACACTATCCTATCCTCTGACTAAAGTAACGATAAACCAATTTCCACTATTTATTTCTTGATTCTTAACAATTTTTTGAATTGCATTATATTGATTGCATTAATTTAAATAAGCTTCATATTGTTTACTTTTAAATTTAAAATTTGGTATCATTTTTGAAGAGTTGGGTTTTCATGATTAAATACATTTTAGGTTTAGCCTCTGAGTTAATACTTCATTTTATTAATCAACAAAAATATACAGAAAACAGAAATACATGAGTACATAGCAATGTTATATTATATATTTCTAAAAGTTAAAAGTTAATAAATTGTTTTGTATCAGTCTTGTCTTTTTATGAAATAATTTTAATTTCACAACTTAATTATTATTAATTATTTTTAATGATAGACGAAAATATTTCATCACCATCAATATTGCAATCCAATTCATCTCTGTCTGATTTTGGTTATTACTTTGATTATAGGTTAATGAAATATCATAACCAAACGAAATAAACGGTTTTGATATTTGGTTATTGATAAAGTAATGATTAGATACTTAGCCAGTAGTTTTTTTTTATTATCAATTAATATTATTTCTTATAACCACAAACATGTCGTTTTGCCATTAACCAAAATCATGTAACCATAACTGTTAATGAATATAACCAGATCAATCGCCAAAACACACCTCATGTTTTTTATATTATTATGTTTTTTTAATTTATTATCATTTATCAATTATAACTTTTTTTGGACCTTCTTTTACAATTTTTTTATGGACTCATGGAAAAAACAGTTTTTTTCGAGTATTTTTCTAATCTTTCCGTTATTTTGAACACTACACGTACCAACTATTTTGGTGCACTTTTGACTCAGTTTTAACCGCTGTCTACTTACGTGTAGAACTGTAGTCGTACGAACGATGTTTTTTTGGGACTTGGTAACCATTATAAGGGTATATTACTATTGGATTCATTGAATAAGTCGTGACGTGAATGTCATCCTCTCTATCGTTTCCCTAAAAAGCATTGGTCTATAAATTTGTATTTTTATTGACATCGGGCATGTCCCGTAAAAAAAAATAAAAAAATAAATAATCAAATAAACTATTTTTTTTAGGAGTCATCTGTATTTTCGCCTGTGTACCTAAAACATTAATAACACTTTTACAAAGGTAAGTACAATAAGGTATATATTATTGTTATTATTATTTTACCGTGATGAAAATATATTATGCTACTCCAATGCGTCTAAATAAAATCATAGCACAAGAATAAAATTGTTTTATATTTAAGAGCTTCATGAATGAGTATTATAGTAGGTAATTATTTTAGTGAAATTTTGTAAAACATTCAAGTTTAACAATTAAAATATGATAATTTGATTGTTATTTAAAGATATATTTGTATGTATACGTGAAGCTGAATCTATTAAAAAGATCCAATAACTTAGTGCTTAAACACATGTAAAAATAAAATAAGACGGCATTAAAAAAAATGCCGTTTCATCAGAATTTCCCATTTTATTTATTGTAATTATAGGCTCACATTCGATCCACGTCATAATGTTGCGGCAATAATGTCGTGATTAAACATTTTTGCGATCACAACAATTTCGCAAATTTAAACATTTCGCTGTAATAATTATAATCTGTATTTAGTGTGATTTATATACAGTGAGGTTAGATTAAAAATAATAATTTCTTAAATTTCGTAAACTTGTAGTTATCATTTAAACAGTTTATATACCTAGTCAAATTAGTTATTAAAAAATAATTGTATTATTTATATTATAATTGGTACTGAAAATTGTGGAATACTCCGCGTAAGTAGTAGTCAATCGATTTTTTTTCGTACTCATTAACAACGTTTAATAGTCTTAAAGCCGAGTCTTTGTAATTTTTTTTTTGCCGGAAATTCGAAATCAGCAATATATGTATTGAACAATGTTCAATTTTTAAATTATTTTAGCATTCATCATAATAAAATTGCATAAAGTTTAATCTCCGTTCATCTTAAAATATGATAACTTGACAAAAAAAATTTTACCTTTAAAAATTGTATAGATTTTTTTTATGTAGCGACAGTTTTGCGCATGCGATGTTTTTAACGGCGACATTTTGACCGCGATATTATTGCTACGACATTTTGACGGGATACCCCTGCCTGCATTCCTTTTTTCCAAACTCCTTTTTCTAATAAATATATTTTACTTACTTTTTACGAACTCTTTATGTTTCTGAAAAAAGGACTCTAATATATAATTATTTCAGGAACCCTTTTGAAATTATGGTTTGCGAGAAAACCGAAAGTGATGAAAAAGTGTTCGGCATAATTTCACTGTCACTGAGTGGTGCGATGGGGTTTACTGATGCGATCGCCTATCATTTTTACGAAAAAGGATATAGCATGCATTCGCACACCAGCGAACATCTCTGCGACGTGAGAAGCATAGACGGCACCCAGTCCGTCGGGGATATTTTCGTACGTTTTAAATTGACGTGCTGCGGGCCCAAAGCGAAGGAAGTAAATCAAATTTGGCTTAAATTAAATGATCGGTCGTCACAACAGGACCCAGTATTTGTGAACGACGATCCGTTTGACTATACATTTCACAAATGTGTTTTAAATTTTCCGCCAAAATCAATATACGACAAAATAGAAAAGTCGAAAAACAAAATAAAATCGAATAACCCGGAAATCAAAAAATTGCTAAGATATAAAAGGTAACTACAGTTGTTGTTGCTGTTGTTATTATTATTACTGTATTATTATTATAACGAAATCCGTTTGAGTAATGCGACTACAATGACGATGTTATAATAATAAGGGTAATTCGAAACAAAACACATGAAACCGCCTGAACAGCGCGGAAACTCGAAATATTATACTGTTCATTTAGCGTTTACGTTTGTCACGTTACTTAATAATTATACATAATGATAACATAATGAGAGACATTCATTGTCTCGAAAATTGTTAATCTATTTTCAGAATTAGATTTTTAGACAATTTTAGAAATTAGTAGCTCTAAAATATTACATTATTGTTATGTTTTGTACTATACATAACGCCGTACGTCATGTCACTACACACATGACGCTCCACTGTTTTCTCCACTGACATTTTTTATATAGTTTGCTATTTGAAAATTAAAAGTGGGTAGTGGTTTCACGTTTAGGAGATTTCACGTCATATGATCAAATGGCTTGTGTTCAAATGATAAGTATGGATAGCCACAAGGATCACAAGAAATATGGATAGTGTAACATTTTAGAGCTGATGGTTTCTTACATCATCTAAAAAATAATTTCCGAAATAATAATAAATATCTTAACATTATGTCGATCAAGCTCCACACTATTTGTGTCAAATTCATTAGCGTTGGGTGTCAAGTGAATAATAATTCATCATGAATCATCAGAATTATTTTATTTTATTTATTTCACTACTAAAAAATATACACGTTAAATCTATTTTCGGAGTTAATATTCAATAAGAATTTATTTTTCCTCTTTATATAGGACAATGTATTTCGATTAAAAATTATTAGATTAGTTTATCAAATATACTGATAGACGATTCAAAAGTGAAATATTGACTTTTTTTCAGCATTAAAAATTATACAAAAAGAGGCCTGTGCTCTTGTCCCTGCAATGAAATATTAAAAGCGGCCAAAAGTTTAATGACTGAAAAAACATAAACATTGTGTTTCCATCAAATTTTGAAAATTTAGAAAATTGGAAGAAAAAAATAATACACTAGCTAATAGCTATTATTATAATAGCTAATTAAAAAATAGTACCGACAAAACTTGTTTGTTTGATGGTAATTTACTACTAACAATTTGATTTGTACTATATCCAATTAAAAAAATATATTTCGACTCACGTAAACTATCCCTGGTAACCATTGTAAGTCACTAAAATAAAATGTATGACGTACAAAATTTGAAAATTTAATACTCAACAATTTTAGAGAATAAAGAATGTAGATAATATATTATTTGATTGTCTGAGTCATAAAAATTATCTTTAGGTAATAATCGCAAAATATGGGTGCTGGGTAAAGTGCATATTATTTATTTGTGCAATCGACCGATAGCCGATAATCATTATGATTTTTTTTTTTTGACCTTTTAGTTCAAATATTTAAAAAAGCTTTAAATTTATAATCTAAAGAATTTATCGTGAGATTCTTTTCTCTAGAGTTATGTTAGTTTTATAACAAAAACTTAACGATTTTGAAAAATTTTCTATATTTGTAACTTCAGAGCAGTAGTGGCACGGGTTAAATTTATTTGATTTGTCTAAAACTTTATTTATATGATTATTTTTAGTAATGGAACTTATTAGGGGGGAGTAATTTGAAAAATTTGGTTATTTTTTTTTTCATACATAATAGAGGACCACCCTACTAGCTATCGCAAAAGACAAATTGCAACAAGACATTGAGCAAGTTCAACGAAAATTAAACCACCATTTAAAAGAACAGGAGTATCAACGCTATAAAACACGCAATATTAACGACGTTGACACAAAGATTATAATGGAATTAACAAAACGTGGATTGGACATCGACCCATTAAAAACAAAAATAAGCAAGAATGACACACAGTGGGTTACATGGATATCTGAAAAAACCAACTCAGTCGAAATAACAACTCCGAGTTTCGATGGTGTACATTAGGGTGGCCCTTATTTTACGATATTGGATTTTCTTCAGTCTCACCCCATAAATTACTTTCAATATACAAGTATATATACAAATTATGTGCACAAAATTTCATGTCGATAGATTAAGTTTAACTCGTGCCCTCTAGTTCTTAAAATTCGAAAGCACGATTTTATTCAAATAACCACGGTTTTATTTAAATTTTTTATTAATATCTCGTTTTAACTATTTCATATAAAAATACGTATATGACATTATTTATTGTAAATAAATTTTCTATAATTCTTGTTCAATAGAGGTTTTTGACTAACGTAATATTTTTTTTTATATATAATTAATTATGAATCATTATAAAAAACGTAAATATTTTACAAGTTTACAAATTATGTAATATCATTAATACCTATTATATTACGTTTTTATTGTCTTATTTTTTTTGAAAACTGATTTAATTTATTATCTGAAATAAGCACATAGCACACTCTATAATAAAATTATTTGATTTGATTATCTTTTAATCTTGAAATGATTCGAAAAAGTTTTAAGAATAGACTACTCTAAAAAATTGACGGTAAATTTTTACATATTTGTATATAAAATACAGGCATTACGTGTAATTTTTTTGTAATATGCGTAAAGTAAAATTCAACCTAAACGAAAGTGCAAAACTTGTTATCCAAGAAATAGTTGTATTTTTGCAAAAACCTCGCATTCCAGTAAGACAAGAATACAATAACATTAAGAAGCTGGAATCATTATACGAAGAATAGAAAACTTTACAGAAACATGCAACGAGAAAAATCGAAATAAATAAGAAAAAACAAGAATGTTTTGTGAATGAGTTGGATGACCTTTTTGATATTGCACATATAAATGCATTGGATATTATTAAAATAGAAATAGATAGACAATTCTCACTATCTCAAAGAGAAAAAGGTAAAATTGGTTGTATGCTTGGTAAAGATAAAAATGTACATAAACCTGAAAAAAGAGTAATTACTCGGTTAGAAGCAGTTACAAAAAGGAAAAAGAGAGCTTATGGAGAAATTGAACAAGCAAGTAAAACTGTAAATTTCTATCAAACTATTTTAAATTATTTTATAAATTTAATTTATATTAGGACGTACTGTTGACAGCGAAATAATTTTGTAGTAATACAAAAAATAGAAAAAACAAAAAGGAGGGTATAAAAGGGGTTATGGGGGGAATCCTGCACACAACAACAACTACGCTCCACCAACTTCTTTCGAGGATTTCTCTAGCTCTAGCTCCGACTTTTAGCAGCTATAATCACTCGTGTTCGATTTATTTATTAATTTACATTGAAACCAGATTTCTGGTATAAAACGTGCTCACATTATAAACATTTTTTTTTTTTTTAAAAGACATCACTGTAAAACCATAAGGTTCTTCGTTACTTTCAAAATCTAAAAAAAAAACACACATCAGAAGCAAAACCTTATCACTAGACACGAATTTTCTCCAAACAAGTTGATGGATTTTTAAAAATTATTGTTTAATTATTTAAAAGGTAAAGTTAAATTTTTGAGTAGTAGGGAAATGAGGATTCAGCACCCTCCTCCTCCTCCTCCTCCTCCTCCTCTTCATCGATCTATATTTTTCCCCACCCCGTTTTTCTAAAAATGAGTAACTATAATTTATGGTTTATACTTTGATAATAACAGCTGCTGACATATGTGGTCAAAACAAAAAAATTTAATTTAATGTAGTATTTTTTTGTTATAAGAATTTTAATATCAAATTTCGATAAAAATTGTTTTAATTAAAAATATGGAACAAATCTAGTTACTGGTCTGTACAAATTGGTCCAATGTTTATATTAGTGGTTTTCAACCTTTTTGGATCCACGGTTCTTCTGAATTTTAAGTCCAAATTAACCTCCCTTACGAATAATGATTGCAGTAAAAATTAAAATGAATGAATTTATAGTATTACTCTACTATCTACTATATTTACTATAGACTATTTATACTAAACCTCGACGCCCCTGGGAGCCGCGACGCACAGGTTGAAGATCACTGGTATATATATTATACTATAATATTGACATATATATTTATATATATATATATATATTGTTAAAAATCAATATTATTACCAAGTTCCGCTCAGAATCATTTTTCGTTAGTAATGATTAATCTTTTCTTACAGATACACATTAAATTCCTCTCTATATCCTACCATCCCAACTTCTCATCTAACAACAGTGGTCCACCCTTCGTGCGAAGTATGTCACTGTGTCCTTTTTTACTATGTTTTTATTATTTTCTTATGTGTTATTGAAATTATGTCAGTGCTTTATATTTGATCGCGTGTAACTAGTTCTAAAAGAACTAAGACGGTGCTGGAGTTAATCGAAGGAAACCTATCAGAATTTAGATAATGATGGTATTAATAAACAATCTCCAGTCACCAATTACATCTACCAAATATGAAGCGTTTTACAGAGTAGTAGGGAAATGAGGATTTATCCCCCTCCCCTTCTCCTCCTATTCATCGACCTATATTTTCCCCCACCCCTTTTTTCAATTATTTTCTATATGCAACACGTACTCGGTCTATTTTGACCACACCCCCTTATTTTTCCCACCTTATCAGTTACTTACTCGACTTACTCTCATCGTTATCATATACCTATCACTTTTATCACAAGCTATACCTGCTGTTGCCGTTGTCATGCACCTATTGTTATCGTTATACTTGTGATTATTAAATTTGATTTATGTACAAATAATATACCTACATACGTCACACACATCACATATATACACACAAATATCGGATTGTTTTGTTGTTTAATTATGTAGATACTCTAAATCAAAAATTTGTCAAAAATGTGTTAAATATTATTTAATTTTTTTATATACATCTTACATACCATTTGGTTCATCATAGAATAATATACCGCAAGTGTCTAGATAATGGATGGACCATGAACTCACCAACTATCCTTCAGTTCACCAAGTGATTTCTCTCGCCTTTTATTATTTTCCGCCCTCTTTATTTTTAATAGTATTTTTCGAAAAAATGTTTGCATGTATCGTTTGTTCTCGTTCATTCACTAGAATGGATAATTTAAAACGTCATTTGAATAACCACAATAACCTCACATTTCCATGTACTGAATGTACAAGAAAATTTACGGTGAAAAGTAATCTCGCCTGTCATCAGAAAACCATGCACATTACGTATACTATTTTATTATTATTATATTATATTCTTTAATAATTTGTATCTCATTAGACACAATACAAATCGCGCCATCGATATTTGAACCCGTACAACATGCAGCCCCAACGACATCGGGAGCCGGTAGCCCGGAAGACATAAATAATGACGATGAATGCTACAAAATATTGGACCGCGTTGATGATCTATCAGACTCGGACGTTAATTTTTTTTTCGAGAGTATTAAAAAGAGATAACGATGATGAAATAATAGGTAGTGGTAAAAAATTAAACGCATGGAAGGTGTGAACGATGGGTTCACCATTTTAAAATCGGCTTTTGATAGTTTATGTAAATCGTATTTCAAAAAAAATTTAAATGGTGTATTATTGCATTCTAGGTTATTAGTAGAATCTATAACCGAAATAGGAGTACAGCAACTGGTACTTAAAAGTGGACGTTATGTTAAGTACAAGTTATGTACATATTCGAAAACTTCCGTGATATATGTATGGAGACGTAAGGCTTGGATCCGTCTTATTATTATACTGCGCCGGGGATGTCGTTCGACTGCATGTCAATTATAATCAACAGTTTATTTTAAATAAAGCGAGTACAGATTTTGATGCACTCCGTGTTGTGGGTGAAGGTGTTGATAATAATACTAATTTAAAAAATTAAGTATTGAACTGAGCAAGGTTCATTGGAGGATGCCCATCGTCAAAGTTAGTAATAGGAAGAAATTTAAACTTTTAAAAGTGTTGGATTCACGAAAACCGTTATCATGTGCATTCAGAACGTGGACTTGTGTGGATATCCAGTTCTCCCGGAAAATATCTCACACTCTTGAACGGTTAAATCTAGTAGTTTATTAGAAAAACCGAGATTCGTCTTAATCGGTTTTCATACTGATCGGAAATACAACCTGCAGAACCCGTCCGGACGATTTAATATGTGTTCATTGAAAAACCTAAAAGTTCATTTGAACTCAGAAGTATATCCGTACGAAGATTTTCGAGCAGATTTTGCTAACAGCTTAACCGCAATATTATACAGAATGTATACCGACTTTCAAAAATCATACTATGAAAGAGGAAATAGTAAACCATTGCTGTCTAGAAAATAATTCAATACTTACGCTCCCTTAATTGTTGTGGACTTGACTAGTCAAAACGATAATGTTAAATCGTCGACCGTAGACTTACGTATAAAATTTGATACACAGAAAAATATCGTATCAAATATTTCAGCTTATTGTTTAATATTGTACGATTAAATTATTACGTATACCCATTTAACGGCGATGTCCGTAAATTGTAACTTTATTTTGTAAAAACTTATTGATACTAATACTATGAATAAAAACTGGTTTTTAAAATGTAAATAATTGCGTTTTTATTTCTATAACATTATAAATAAATATAATAGTTTTTTTTTTTTTTTTTTTTACAAATATTTTAAGTAATCTGCCATATGATATTCGCCTTCCTTGCTCGACGGTTTTATGAATTGCGGCCCGCACGTCCGTCGTAGTCAAATCCTTTTTTTTCTTCGAGGAGAGTCGGGAAACTCGGCAATAGTGACAAATAGTCTAGTGGTGAAAATGGTGAAAAGGTTGGAAGTATATAGCTATACGTTGTTGGTAGTGATGGTTGTGGGTCGAAATTCTAAAATAAGTTATTATGTTAATATATATATAATAAGGCAGAATGATTAGCTTTACTTACTTTACTCGAAATTGGATCCATCGAAATCTGCTCCGTTAAACGTGAGATCCCTGGTATGCACATAACCACAGTTTCTAGTTGTAGTAAACGCATCAGATCATCGCGGTTTAATAATACTCTGTATCCTTCTACAATTTTAGATTTGATTACGAGTGTGTTTTCTTTCTTGTATATCATACTCGATAGTATCGCCTCCTCGGTAGATAGGAAAATATTCCTTCGGTATTTTGGTGAGTCAAGCAAGAATGTTAAAATGCTGCTTATCAGAGTGAATAATCGGTGTAAAAAATCGACGGATAAAATTATATTTCTTGCAGGTGTGATTATTTTAATGACTCTGTATGTCAAATTAAGACCGACGTGTAGAAACTTGCGACTTACGAAGTCTATCGTGAATAAAGTAATTTTAAAATGGTTAATTTTCGTAAATAAGTAAATGCATCACCTGTGTACAATACTATACAATTCATAATACTACTTAGAACGACCGCTTAGAAAAGCACGTCGGACGATCGGACGTGTGTTAGTCGTATGAACGGATGTTTTATTGTTTCCGGCGACGATGCAGGATTGCAGGTTTCTGTTGCGTTGTGGGTATTAGCGGGCTTTGGTATTGGCGTTTTCCTAATAGTGATGGTAAGAAACAACTGTATCAGTTATAGTAGCACTGCTATTTTACCATAGCAATTGCAAACCGTTATTCGTTGTTAATAATATCAGCGATTGCTAAAATTTGTATAGTATGTTTTAGTTTCTTGTGTATTCCTACAGTGTATATTGCTATATTGCTATTATGTCAGCAGCTGCTATTATCAAAGTATAAACCATAAATTATAGTTACTAATTTATAAGCAATAGCAGCTATTTGCTCTTAAGTAATTAGCATTTTAGCAACCATATGGCATCGCCACGTTGGCACTTAGCATCATTGCGCGTACATACAGTTGTACAATACATTATAAAATAAAGATAATACACCATGGGTCACGGATTAGATACTAGATATTATTATGTTAATTTATCTGTTATCACTAACCTAACTGAATATTATTAATTAATATTTACTGATTAATAACTGTTGAATATTATACTAGTAGTATATTCCGTGCTAGTATACTGTACCAAGTGTACTAGTTGTGTGCTTTTTAACATTTTAAACTGGGATATCTGGAATTTGGACACTTTATAATTTTCAACTGTGGACTAATGTAAACAAACAAAAATACACAATGCACGAGAAATAAAATAATTGTGAATATACCTAAAATTATAATAAAGTGTTGAATGATTTAACAATTTATACTGTAAACAAATTTAAACTTAATCTTATAACCTTTTATAACAAATTATATATAATCTGTGTATAAAAACGTATTATACCATAATCATACTTATGTATTTTGATTTAAAAAAAGAAGCTCTTCAGCTTTATTGCTGCTAAGCCTACTTCAACGATCACTAATAAGTAACCCAGCTTTCGAGAACACTCGTTCACAGGGCACTGATGTACTGATCCACTTCTCTAATGCGTTAGTCTTTCGGGAGGATTATCAGTAGACCAAGAGTTTCGCGAGTAGAACTTTCGAGTGTTGAGTTGAGTTCCAGCGGATACTGGCATTCTGAAGAAGCTTTTTGGGTTTTTTCGCCCCATTACTCATTTGATAACTGTTTAATTCTTATTTGCAAATTTACTTTTTCGGAAATGTGTCGCAATCGTTTTAATTGCTTCTAGGTTAGATTCGATTGTTAAAGCACCTTGGACGATCAAATTTAATGTGTGTGCAAAGCATCTTAAATGCGTTAACTTGTTGAACTATGAGCTATGATGTGTTGAGTATGTAGAGTTGAATAGAAGTGCTTTACTTGCACCCGTATATAGGTACGTCTTAGTAAGCCACTTCTGGTTGGCTGGTGGTTTCATATTGACGGTAAAGCAGCACTCGCTTTTTGTGGCATTCTACGTCAGTGTACGGCTTTTCTTTATCAATGTCATTATTTGTTGCCAGTTGTTGGCTCTAAAAAGGACCATTTTTATGTGGCATGCGCTCCTTTACAGAGTCTCCGGGCGAAAAAATCAAACGAGAATGGCTGTGACGCAAATTTTTGTGGTTTATGGGACAAATTGTTGCACGGAAAATAATGTAATTTCAAGGAATAATGGCACGTGTGATAATTTAAAATTTTCATCTCCGGAAAAATAATCAACACAGTTGTTCCGGATAAAAAATACATTTGTATGACGTTTTTAACGATAAATCCAGTTTTAAATTTGTGAAGTGTGTAAAATGTGACAAATACACATTACTTATTCGCCTTTATTGCAGGTAGTAGTTCTACTAGTTTTAATGTCAAAATATCAAATTTGGTAATTATTACTTTATTATATTATACGTTTTAATAAAAAACGGTAATAATGTGACAATACTTTTAAGTATTGAAGCAAAAATAATAATAAAAGAAACTTTAAAATGTTGTTAACCTATAAAACAATCTAAGTTGCATGTGTTACATGTAAGTTGGTGAGTATATAGGTACTTAAACTAAGAAAAAGTATTTTTTCCGAGATAAAAATAAAAACGATAAAATATGTATGTACATACATCATCACTATGCTGTTGTAAAACAACTGTTTAAAAAAAAAAATGTAGCAAAAAATTAGCGCAAGATTTCTGGTAAAAAGTTGTTTACAGAACTTATAAGCTGATACCAGGGATGAGTGTGCCACTGTTGTAGGTGGGAAGTTGGAATAACAGGGCACGTGAAGACACTTAATTTATATCTGTATGCAAAGTATAATATATTTCGTACATTTTTCGTTTTTTCCCGGTTTCCATTTATTATGAAAACAGCTGGAAAATCCAAAAAATGACTTCCTTAAAAAACAATCTCAGTCAGATTTCCTTTCAGAAAAAATGATACACTTTAAATCAGAGCAAGATTTTTGGTATAATAGCTGTCCATAGGAAAATGATTAAATAAACATCATTGTAAATTCAATACATTCCTCACACCACTTAGAATCTAAAACAAAATTGAGAATAATGAAACTGATATTCCGTAAATTTACCATTCTTCCTACATTTTTTCCCAGTTTTACTCAATTAAAAAAGAAGAATATACGGAAAATCAAAAAATTAATTCCTTAAGTACTAACTTTTTTAAAAAATGCTTCTCTTGAAATTTTGACTAATATATCTGGTATACAACAAAAATTGAGAGTATGAAATATAATAAAATGGTTTCTATATGTTTTTTCACTGGCTTTCCCAATTATTATGAAAACTACTTAGAAATCAAAATATAACTCACTGAATATACCAAATAAATCCAAAGTGAAACGAAAAAGGTGTTTTTGATTTTTGGTTGGAGCAAGATTTCTGGTAGTATAAAGTTAATCACAGACAGAAAAAAAAACCACACTTCATAATAAAACCGTTAATACATTTTCGCTACGCTTTGAATCTAAAAGAAAATCGAAAAATAACAGAAATCGTTATTGCGTACCTACATTATCTTACGTTTCCCCCAGC